TATATATATATATATTATATATATATATATATATCTAATATATATATATATATATATATATATATATATATATATATATATATACATATATATATATATATTAAATTTAAACATAACTATTCAATTGGGAATAAGGTCACTTATTAATTATTTAATAAACTACTGAATGTTCATTTCCTCTATGTTTATTGATGTTTCGATCCCGGTATTTTCTTTTTATAAGTCAACGATGGGATCCTCTTCAAAGCTAGAATTTTAGAATTTTTCGATCAGGCCGGGGACACACCGACAGTCTCATCACCGTCCACTAGCACATATATTAAACTACTCTTTATATTATTAAGGATTAAGGTAAAGTTGTAAATATATATATAAATCTGCTCCTGTAAATTAAATTAAATATAGCTTTAAGTCTTTGTTTTGTGCTTTATTACGTATCATTACTGTGGTATTTTCTTTAATGTTGTTGATTGTTTAAATTGTTTAAATAATAATTTTTATTTGTATAATCATTAATGTTAAAAGTAATAGCATTAAAACATTTTCGTGTTTTAAGTGTTAAACGTTTTCAAAAATAAAGTTTTTAAATTAAAAGTCAGGAATTTTCTGCTCATGAAGTTCTAGGTCTATGGAGGAAAGAGGGGGTCCGGGGTGTCGGTCATAAATAGACTAAATAGTGACAAAATTATTTTATTAAAAACCAAAGTTTCTACCCGACTTTGCAGGTCTTCTTCAGGAAGGTTTGTTCAGCAAGGAGTTTCACTTAAAACTGTTAGGTTTATATTAATAATTTAACTTTTATTTATTTAATTTCTTTTTAAAAAAGTGCTTTAAATATAATAAATAAAGATTCCAGTAGTACGAAAACTTATTAAACATATAAGTTATAATTTCATTTCAAGCCCTAAATTATTTAATCTTTTATAATTTAATGTTTGTAAGATCGGAGATTTGTGGCGCCTTTTTACCTTTTTGTTTTGCTTTATTTCATTCCGTTACAATGATATTTTCTATAATGTTGCCTTACAAAATTTATAATTAATAATTTTTATTTAAAAAGTAGTTAAAGTTAAATTTTAACTCTTTCTGTAAATTCTTTTTTATACTAAAATTTTATATACTAGTATTATCAGATTCCTCTATAGGTCTACATAATTAGGTTTTTTTATTTTATAAACTTAAGGATATTTAGGAAATGTTAGCTTGTTATATGTCATGTATTCAAATAACAACTCTTTAAAAATAAAAGTATAAAAATACTTCATCATGAGGAAAAACGATCTACACTTTTCACTCTGTAGATATGATATATTTCACTTAAAACTGTCAAGTATCATGGACTCCGATACTCCTTTTGAACTATGGTTTGATAAAAGATAAACTTTATAAGAAATAGGTGTTATTACAACTGATTCACCGATGAAATATAATCACAGTTTGAAGAAACTTCTTTCATCATTATTACTACAGATCGTGAAATTGTATTGAATGTAATTTTAATGATTTATATTTTCAATTCTCTTATATTGCCTTCTCTTTTGTCATTTATGTTTACGATAATTTTTTTTTTCTCGAATAACAATAAGCCTTTTAACTCTTACCGTAAGCATTGACTGACTTATTTATTTTTATTTCTATAAGGTTACTCTTAAGCTCTGTTTCGTTGCATTCTTCGGTAATATTGTTTTATTGGCCAAGTGGTAAAGCTCTAAATATGTTGCTTTGATAAACATTTTTAAACAAATGAAAGCGATTGTTTTGTACATTTTTTTCAATATTCTGATTGAGCAGAATTCATCTATAAAGTTATTAATCTATTAGGATGTGTATGATGAAAACATTAAATATATTCAAAATCCGTAATCATTTTTCAGAGAAGTTTAAGTTTCTTTCGAGTTCGCAACAAGACGATTCCCTTTCACGTGTTTTATTTTATTTACCACTATAACATACCATTAGAGAAGTGTTCATACCGAAAAGGTTTGAATAGGAGTAGAAAAATATCCGTGCTCGGATTAAATTAAAATACGGAAATTATAGAACTCAATAATCAACAACGTTGATGAAAGCCAGCAAAGAACTGGGACTGGGAATAAATATGGTTAAAAGAAAATATACAGTTAGCTGCAGAAATCACGACGATATACAAATTATATTACAAAAGATATTTCGATGTTGTATACAAGATATAGAATGGATTACGTTTGAACACGTAGAGAAACTACGTTGGGCTAAGAAGCAAACAAACTCCTAAACGATTAATAATCCCTTTGTAGACTGGTAAGCGGCAGAGGTGGAGACCGAAGCGGATGTGGGAGGATTGCGTCAAGACTGTATCAGCGGGTTTGGATTTGATGGCGCTCGGTGGATGGGAGTATCTAGGCAGCGATTGGTGGTATCAGCATCGAATCTTAAGGCTTAATTATTATTATTGGACGATGGAAAAGCTCTGGTACGAAAGTGATCCAAAAATCTCTTCAATCTCTCCGATAGAGTAAAACAATATCTAGTCACATCCTTCAGGTTTGGTGCCATTTTCTCATAATTTTTTTATATATATTTTAGGCCAAAGGTCACCAAATATACACAGTTTTTATATCCTGTATTCTTTATTCAACGTTTCGGCTTCAGGAGCCATTTTCAAGATCCATGCACCGCGCCATAAAATTTTTAAAACCTATCATTGCAATATGATTCGTCCTTTAGTCATTCTTTTATTTCAAAGAATATCGTTTTTTTTTCACTTCTCTTTCGCAGACGATATCAAGAAAATTTTTGCTCCTCATTAGGGCATTCATACAGGGCTCAAATATCTCAAATGCCTCAGTCCTGTATGAATGCCCTAGTGAGGAGATACAATTTTCTTGATATCGTCTGTGAAAGAGAAGTGAAAAAACGATATGCTTTGAAATAAAAGAATGACTAAAGGACGAATCATATTTCAATGATAGATTTAAAAAAAAATTATAAAAAAAGAATATAAAAACTGTGTATATTTGGTGACCTTTGGCCTAAAATATATATAAAAAAATTAAAACAATATCGTTTATCTTCAATACTTTCCCCGAAGCTTGTTGTACGCCAAGGATTGGCTTAGAACAAGGAAATTATTCTCATACAGTCTTATATCATATAACTAAAGTCACTCACATTCTTACAAATTTCTCGTATTCTCCTACTCAAATAGTTTTTTAGAAAGAATTCAAATAGTTAAAAAGTGTCTATATTCTTTTTCTTCTTCTTTATTGGTCTTCCGTCTTCTACTGCAGCGCAGTGTGGATGTGTCTTTGATATAGCTTGATCCATAAGTATCTGCCTTTTACTATATTTTTCCTCCTCTTCCACTCCAGAACTTTCCTGTCAAAGTCCTGCTTCAATACTTCATCCTTGAAATCTTTTACCTTCTGCGATAACTTCATTGTTAGCTCTGGTAGTGAAGACTATACGATTTTTAGACATAAGAAACACGTGTCTTAACCATCTCAAGCGATTTTCTTCATAAGGTACCTCATTTTCATTGCTTGGATCTGACTCTTGTGTTGGGCCATAAGGGTCCAAGATTCGCTTGCCTAGGTCAGAATCGGACGGAATGTTATTTAAATTTATTTATTGTTACAAATGACACTTAAGATTGATTAGCGATTCCCATCATGGTCAGTATACAATTTTAATGCTAATACATGTTCCCTTTTATAGTTTCTGCATCTGAACGTTGTGCATTAGGTCTTCTTTCTCTTTGCAGGCTTCACACTTTCCGTCTTTTCTAATTCTGATAGGGATAAGGTATTTGTTTCTGCAATCGTGGTTAGTCCGGAATTTTACAGTCTGTACTATACTTTGTTGCTTAAATTGCTGATTCAAAGCAAACTGCACGTTTTTTTTATAGACCACTTTCTTAGTAATGAAAAACAAATGTATATTTAAGATACGAAAAAGTGTAGATACGAAAATTTACATAAGAATTCACTTTTTTTAAATGAAATTTATTTTGAAATGAAGTTCTTCCTTTCCAAGGAGTCAATCAAAGCGAAGAGTATGCAAATATTAAGAAAAAGAAGACAAAAACAATTGACGCTGACTTTGCTCTTACTTTTATATTTGGTTATTGTTCTGAACTAAACGCCTTGGCATCTGACTGGCTGACAAAGCTGTGAGTGAAGGTCAAAAGAGAAGGACGCTTCTTTTGTCCACTGATATATATATATATATATATATATATATATATATATATATATATATATATATATATATACATATGTGTGTGTGTGTGTATGTATATATAGACATACACAAATCCAACTTGAATACTATCAATCCCATACTTCTAACTTTCTGACCTAATAATTTTGTTATTGATTGGCATCTGTTAAAATAAGACCTTCCTCCTTTATATTATCTATCGTTTTCCTAGTATAATAGTTTATTCCGGTGCCTAGAGGATTTTATTGCTCAGATCTTAATTTTAGGAATCAAGACGATTAGTTTATTTCTTCTAAGTATATTGTTAAATCATTACAAAATTAACGTTTTAATACTAAATTTTACAAATTAAATCAATTATCGATGTGAAGAATTTTCCTGCTGTGTTATCAGAACATTGAGCACTTATTATAACTATTTTTGAAATATAATTTGAGTTTAATATAATTTTGATGCACCTAATGAGTTTCTGCATCGATAAATATGATCGAAATTCATAAATATATGCTTAAAAGTTTAGCTTCATCCAAAGTATTTTTAGTGACTTTTTGCGATAAATCTTTCGATATATAGCCAGAAAACTTGGGTTTTTGTCAAGCTTAATCATATCGTCCAGACCTAACTTTTGCAGATAAATTGGAAGTTATATTCTTCATTGAACTTCTTGATGTCCAATTGGTTTTAGATTAAACAGTATTGCGGTTATAACAAAATATTTTTTTTTTAAATCTAGAACATAAATATAAAAATTATGATTAATATAAATGGAAAAAATCTCTAACTTGTTATATCTGTTGCAGGTTTCAGAGCGGCTAGAAAGAAGAGCCCGTTATTTTCTTTTTAATTCGTAAGTCACACCTTATTTTTTTACTTTAATTTTTTTTAATTATTCTACAATCACGTCCTGTGACATTAAATAATCTTCGAAGTAGAGCTCTTGAAAATTGCATTGTTCGATGACAGATTTTTATAGCTTTGGCATGATCTTTGCGCATCATGCAACCGCCATTAGCTGAAATAAATTGACTGTGTAATTATCTGGTGGATTATAATTTTTATGTCTGACTTATTAGGAAAGTAATTAATGAAAAATAGATTTGCTAGTTATTATATCTCTTTTAAGAAACCTCATGACTTTATTGTGTCGAGAGTCATCTTTATTTTGTCTTAAAAATTTTCGCGATTGGTATAGCTCAGGATCCAGTAGCAATCTCTTATATACTATTGAAATAACATACATCACTTGAAATGTGCACTGGTTTTGGAGATGAAATTCGTTTAAATTGAATATAGTTGAGATTTATAAAATTATTTTTTATTTAGTAATAATAACAGCAGAACTAGAATTTCTAAAATTTTTGTCGTTTGCGAATACAATTTAAAATTAATTAATCATTTCTTATACTTTAAGAAAAATATGTTTGGGCATATGTAAGTAAAAAGTAGTGGGTGTATGGAATGATAGATCGTCCATAGCTCCTCCCTCAAAATTTGATGCTCTACAACTTTGATTCTATGGGTTTTTCTTTCTAAGGACCTCATTTCCAAGTTGCCATTTATTGTAATTTGTCTCTGTTTTTGACAAATTTTCTAAAAATCAGCGTTAATTGACCATGGTTTTATAACATACCACGTAATCAAATTATAAAGATTATGTACTCGTTTGACGTACAATTTAACGTTCTTTAATTTATTAAATTGTACATTTGAACAGGTGAAAAAACAAAAACAAAAATTGACATTTTTGGCTGTAAAAAGTGTTCCCTTGATGACCCGCGTTACCAATTATGTTTTTTACAGCTCTAAATCCATATATACTAGTTTTAAAAAATAAAAACTTTGCTCATATTTTTCACAATGGATTTCGATCCTCAAATTCTGGCTTAATATTCTTTAAATCAGTCGCCATTTTTGAAAGCAGCGGCTCTGGAACGGCAGACAAGGCTTTTTTACTTAGTATAACATGTACTTTCGTAAATTACAACCAAACATTCGCCTGCGATGAGGGCGATATTTGGGCCCTGGCTCCAGGACTATGATTCCTTTAGGGACTATCTTGCAGTGTCCTTCATACCGGCTCATCCAGGTTCAAGGACAGTTACAATTTGGTCTATATCCATGGATCGTGGCTGCTTTGAATCAGCAGGCGCTTGAAGACCTATATTTCTTTCTCCGAAACTAAGCTTCTTTGAATTAAATTAGGGATTGAAACTTTTTTAAAAAAGTTTCATTTTAAAAGTTTCGAAGGAACTGTTTTGAAATAAAAGTTGCGAGGAACTTTTTTTGCAATAGAGTTGTAAAGTAATAACTATTTTTTAGATTTACTTCTTTTGCAAATCAACTTCTAAATTAAGGTTTTTTAAAATAAAAGTCTTACAAAAACTTATATCAAAAACTATCGATAGTAAAAATTTCAGTGATACCGGAACTTTTTAAAAATAAGAGTTTTTGTTTCCTTTTCAAGCTTAGAATTAAATCTCTGGGGGATGCTAACACTCTAGAAAATCTCATCGTGATTCCTGATTAAGATACACGTGGCAGGGTCACCGCTCTTATGACTGGTCGGTGTGATATTGCCTCCAGTAAGCTGACGGTTCCCAAATACCCAAGGAAGATGGTTTTTCCCAATGGGGAAGTCATCCAATTCGGGCGGCCAACCATCGAAGTACTTACCAGTCTCCAAGCTGTTTTACTTTGATTACCTATTGCAAGAGCTTCAGCCCTCTCGGCCGTATGTAAATAATCAATTTGCATATATACATATTATTTAATGATAATTAGGCAAATGTTATTACTATATTAATAATGTTGTGTTTAGCGCCATTTGCATGGATGAGGTTGCTAAGTAGAAACCACGGATCTGCGATAAAAATCTAAAAATAATATATAATATTCTTGAAAATAGTGATTAGTCTGTATTCCACATTCTGATTCATTCCTATTCATCTCGATTAGACCATACAACAATTTTTGAAGTATAATCTATTATTTCTAATATTAGTTCAAATCAGAGATGGACAAATGCTGCTCTGCGTACTGACTACAAAGTATTTTACTCAAACTGAATCACTATTGGGAATTCAATCACTACTTCAGTTAATCGTTTGACATCAACTGAAGTAGTAATCAAATTCTTTGGTATTCACAAAAACTCAGTATTTTCGTAAAATACTTGATACTCAGCACTCAGAGACCGCCTCTAGTTCCAATGATATTAAAAAAAATCTTTGCCGCCTCTAGTTCCAATGATGTTAAAAAAAATCACAAACCCAATAGATATTAGAAATGTACCGGTTTTTGATAAAATTGCGAAGGTATACCTAGTTATGATTAGTTTAACTCGCAAAAATATTCTACTATTTGGGAGAGTTATATTAATTACTGATTATCTTACAATTAGTGCAATGAGGATTACGTCCGGGGTCGAGAAGATAATCGATTCTGTACTGTACGATACACAATACATATTGATTAAGATTTGGCAATAAATATCATACCGGTAAGTCTAGGACGGAAGTGCCATCGATAGAAGAAATGAAGTGCTAACTTAACTGCAGAACTTGTAGCTCATAGCGAGACTTCACTATGTATAAATATATTTTCTAATGCCATGATTTATGAAAAGTATATTTGAACGTGATGTGAAATGCTTTATACTCATGTCAGATATGAATGATTTTTTTTCTCGAAATAACTGTACTGATAATCAATATTTGTTTGGCACTTGATCGAAATAATGTTTACCGCACGAACCTTAGAAGAAGCCATTCTTATCTTTTAACGGAAAAGATTATACCGAAATAAAATGGGTGTGGTAGAAATGAGCTAGTCGGAAAAGCAAATTTTATGACATTTAATATTGCGTTTCGAATTTGTTCTTAAATATAAGATGGCTAAAATAAAATTTCATCGATTTTAATGAGTAATATTTGATTAGGTAGATAAAATTTTACAATTTTTAAAAAATATATTATATAATTAATTGTAAGATGAATCATAAAATAATTGACTGTTTCCTGTTTATATTTTTTTGATACATAATTACAAATGGCTTGTATTAAAACTAGTATTTGTGGCTTAAACCTAGTATTTCTAATTGTTTGTGACTTATTGCTGCATTGAACTATTCAAATTTATGATATTAAGATTTAAACAAATTTATGAGATTATGAAATCTAATTTAACATCATAAAATTCCAAATTTTGCTATGACATTCCTAAAATATCCTATATACCTAATATTTCCTAATATATATAGGGGTGTCCATCTTACATACCTCCTTCCAAAAAATTGTATTACTTTCTCTTCTTAAAAATCATACTAGTAAAAGTACCAATTATAAAAATAGTCATTTAGTGTCCCCTTTTTTCCTGGTTTTAAAGTTCTCCTAGATTAAAACCACACAAAAATACCTTGTAATAATGGCCGCCGCAGAAATTTATAAGCTGGGAAAAATGTATTCCTCTCCCTTCAAAAAGTTTGATGGCGCAACTTCTTCTTGGCACCACTAAATATATATGATCTATCCAATATTATAGAACTGATGTATATTTTTTTCTGTTTCAGAATTCCCACTGAACTAAATGAGGGCTTGGCAAGTTTTGGAAGTGCTCTTTTTAGTGGTGGCAGTGGCCTTCTCCTTTGACGATTGCCCACACCATTGCACATGCACACAATCCAGCTTTACTGGTGGAAAAGCGAAATGCACTCTCCTTGATCCTGGAATCCAGAAGTTTCCATTGGATATTGTCCATTTAACTGTAGACAATTATCCAGATGAGAGATTACCAGCTAGACTTTTTATGGATTTGGGATTAAGTCAATTAGTTACGCTTCGCATTGCAAATGGTTCCCTTCGAAACATAAACCGCCACACCTTCCAAGGCCTCACATACTTGGAAGATGTTGATCTCCCAAACAACAAGATTGAAAAGATAGATCCACATACTTTTGAGTCTCTTAATGTTAAACGTCTCAATCTGGATGGTAATCCACTTGTTATGTACGATTCGAATGTCCCGAATGAGCTAAGACAATTCCTGATATCAACTTCCCTAATTGAATTAACTTTATCAAATTGTAAAATCAAGTCAGTTGATGAGATCCAGACTCTTACGAATTTGGCCAGTCTAGAATATCTCGATCTAAGTTATAATGAACTTACTGAACTGAAAGACGACATGTTTTCTTCCTTAATCAACTTGGAAGAAATCAATCTGTCATATAATAAGATCAAGCACATCGACAGAGATACATTTGCTGACATTGATGATCTTAGTACACTCAACTTGCGTGGTAACCCTCTTGTTACCCTAGAGGGTATTGAAATACCAGGGCTGAATGAACTGGATGTAAGCCATTGCAAATTTGAATTGCTGTCAGCATCTACACTTGAAGGATTCCCAGAATTAACTTCTCTCAATCTTAGTCAAAACTACATAATGAACATTGATATGGATACATTTATGAGCGTTCCTCAATTAAAGAATTTGGATCTCTCATACAATAAACTGAGAGGACCTCTTAGCGAATTACTATTTGAATTCAATAAGAAGTTGGAAACACTTTCATTCAGAGGAAATTCTGAAATTAAATACATGCCTGGATTCAAAGGAGATTTTCCCCTGCTTTATACCTATGATTTGTCTTACTGTGGCCTGACCAGCATTGGTAATGAGACATTCAAAGGAATGAACAACCTTGCCACTGTAAATGTGAGTGGAAATTCTATGGTACACATCGACCCAAGGACTTTCATAAATCTTCATTACTTAACTGTTTTGGACCTTTCCAGCAACTTGTTGCATGTCCTTCATAGCAAAATCTTCTTGGCGAATAAGGAACTCACCAAACTTAATCTGGCACGAAACTTTTTCAAGCACTTACCAGCTGTCCTCTTTTTGCCTACTCCAAAACTACAGTGGTTAGACCTCAGCTCCTGCCGTCTCACCTCACTCTGCAATATAAGTGAGTCATTCACCATGAGAAATCACAACATTTTGAGCAGGCTTACTTATCTTAATTTATCAGGAAACAAATTGACGAAACTTCACAAGCATTACTTTGTCAGTATGGTAAAACTAAAGAAATTAGACATTTCTAACAACCCAATTGAATGTACGCCCGACTTTAGCCATGTAATGCAATGGTTAATTATTAAGAGAGTAATGCCCAACAAGGGTACAACTGAAAGTCCTGCCAGTCTTGATCTGATTGAGAATAATGTCCAGTGGGATGACATACTGAAAACTGTTTGTCCTCTGGAATCCTCCAACTATAAAGAAAATAATAGTGTAATGTTCACCTCCAATGTGATACATATACCAGATATCGGTGGGTTTGAGACAGATAATAGTGACATTGAAGTACCTATAATAGAAGAAGCAACACCATTTGGACCTATGCTAGTGGTTTGGGTGTCCTTATTTTTATTAGTTTTTGCATTAATCAATCTCATTGGCCTCACAATATACAGATCGAGGAAAAATTATAAAATTGTGTCATCTGCCTTAGACGGACATTTTCAAGTGAGGAGAGGAGGTCGCCAACAGTATCAAAAACTTTATGAAGAATGTTCAATCCCTGTGCCGATTCATAATGAAAAGAAAATCAGTATTGTTGCCAGCATTATAGGAAATGCCATGGGGAAAAATGACAATGTTTGAAAAGATATATAACAAAATTTATATATTTTTGTACTTAAATTAACTAAGTCAGTAGATTTTTAACTGTTAAAACACTTGTTACCAGTAATGAGAAGGTTTTTAAAGTTTTCGGACCATTATATTTTGCCATAATTTATGGACTGAAAAATTTGATTTTGCATTTTATCATTTCAAAAGAATAACCAATCTTATGAATTGACATTCTCAGATTTGTGTGCTAAGGTCTGTGTTTTGTATGGGTGATGTATTAATATTTTTATAATGCATTATTGATGAATTGATTGCTAAATTTGAAAAGTAAATATGTTTGTTTTTAAATTCTTAAAATTCTTGTCCCTTTACTATTACTACACAGAAATAACATGAAAAATCATACAGATTAAATTATATTTGCTTCGCAAAATATTCAATATTATGGATTGTTAACTGGTCAAGTGGGAAATTAAAAATAAAACAACATATTTGAAAATAAACATATTACTTTTTGATAACAAAAGATGTTGATGTTAGCAATTAATTGTTAAACGTAGCTCTATAATTACTAGTTCGTAACTAAATAGATGGCCAATGCTTCTTCGGTTAAAGGAACTGGTCTTTAAAAAGAAAGCTGATGTTTTAAAATTTACAATTACATATTTTTATAATATGCATTTTTGGTTACTTCCCTTCCTAGATAAAAATATAGAAATTAAATGCTTCTTTAGTACTTGAGTGTTGCAATTTTTATTATAAAAATAACTATTCAAAAAATGTACACAAAAACATATTAGAAATATTTGATTAAGTTCAGAAAAAAACTATAAATGGGATAGTTTAACAGTTTAATTAGAAGTAAAAAAATTAATTAAAATATAAATTTAAAAAATCAATTTATATTTTTAAAAATACAAATCTGTTTGTTTTTGTTATGTATTTTATGTTTCTCATTGAAATTTTCTTTGATTTATTTATTTTTTTTTTAGATAAAAATCAAATTCAAATGGTTTATTACATTTGTATTATCATTAAATAATCAATTGTGCTGTAACATTATAGAACTGTATGTACATAAACTATTTTAGTTTTTTATTGTTATTAATTAGATTTTATTCCCTTAAAATGGTTCATTTCGTAATGTAAATACACAGTTTGTGCTCATATTTTTTTAATTCATATCCCATGGTTAATCTAGAATTCTTTATTTTTAGGAATGTACTATATACTCTAATTTTCAAGCATCAATAAAATTGTTTAGTTGTTTTTCTTTCACTTTATTTTATCCTTTCTGTTAATTTTACAATTCCAATATTATTTTTCATTACATTATGGATGATGTCTCAGAAACCTGGAATTAAGAGATAAGAAGAGCATTTATCTAACGAGAAATTTTAATTTGAATGGTTAATAAAGAAAAAAATATATTATTCTCTGGAACATCTTTTTCAGAAATTCTGTTACATTTATTCCTGGTAAGTTATTAAAAATACTTATATATATCAATACCTGCACTACTTATAAAAATGAAGAATCCACATCATTCTATTCAGGATGTGAAGGGTCTCATAATATAATAAACAACATCTCGCCAACCATCAGTAATCTAAAGATAAAGCCAACTTAAATATTCTTTCTCTATCAATTAAATTATATGATTCATAAATTAGAGAAGGTACATAAAAAACAAACAATAATGCGTAATATAATTCTTTACTACATCAACCAAATAAACATTCAATAGTAACACTTTTATACTTATTTAATATTAATGTTATTTACAATTTGAATTAAGGTATCTTTATTTAGTCTTGATGGAGTTTACGAACGGGTTGGGGAGGAACATATGGCTCATCTTCTTCAGCCAGCTTTTTGGCGAGGAAATAAATTTCTGCTAAAGCAATAATGAGAGAACAAATAACACCAAGGAGTAACCTGAATCCAAAATCGAGTTCACCAGTCATAAACTGAACACCAAAGAATCCAAACATGAAACCAGCTGCGACTGAAAACACAAACTGCAGAATCGCTAAAAGCTGCCTGTTTATCTGCCTTACTAAAAAATAAATAAAATACAAATATTTATTAAAAATCAAAATAATAGAAACATAGTAAAGAAGACTATAGATAATTTAAATTTTAGATTACTTTGCAAAGCTTAATATAACATTTTCTAAAATGTCAACGAATAATCTGTTTTTAGTAAAATTAGATATGAATCATAAATCAGCAGCTCATTTTTCATATGTAGCCGCTAATCATAACAGTTACAAACAAAAAATGAGCGATGAATTTACACATTGTTTCTTTCAAAATTTATGTTGTACCATAAAGGTTTCAAATATGGAAAACCTCAATTTGACCTCTAGGAATAAAGATAAAAATATTTTCAACTGCGTTTAGAGAATTTTGTAAGTTATAATCCTAATAACAATAAATAATATAGTAATAACTTTCGGTAATAAAATATCATAAATAATAAAACAAAAATCTTCCAATGCTCTCCTATTCAAACAGTATAAAGAATTTAATTTTGGGAGCTTCATTTATGAGCCTTGAATATATTTCTTGATGAAAATAGCAGTTAGTGTGATCATTATTATTTATTATTGTATTTTTTTACTTAGGACATTTGATAATTATAAGAGCAAATGTCTCAGGTTTTCCTAAGTTGCACACAGGGCAATCCAGCTCAGTGTTGATTCACTAAAAATAAAGGTGCAACTCGTACTCCCAAGAGTTTTATTTCTCTTCCACTCTATAGGCACTTTAGAGGCTGACATAGTCCTCACCAACACCAAAGGAGCTTAGATAACAGCACAGTGTGTTGTACCTAGAGCTAAGAACAAGCTCTACATATACAGAAATAAGGCGATTATTCCATCTTGCCAGAATGCAAGACAATTGCAGCATCAATAGCTTAAAATAATTTTAGCAAATCCTCTCAGGATATCTCACTTTCTCTCTCAGTAAGATCTTCTCACCTTATAAGAGGCTTTGTGTACCATGACTTACAAAACAGTCAGTTGCCTATTTAATAAATTTTACTGTACAACTGAAGGGTATGCCAAAGTAAGTGATGTTAATAGCATATTCAATGGCCTCGTTATCTAATAAGAGTGATGGTCATTTCTCACATTTGGGACTTCATCGGGAGATAACTTCGGTTTTGCTTCAGCTTATATTATTATTAAGACTATTTGCCAAACCCTATTCACCAAGGCCAGTTAATTAGGCCTGTGCATCAGTACTTGAATCACCAAAATCATAATATAAAATCTTAAATAAAATCACCAGCAAAAAGTAGACTGATCATAGTAACCGTGATAAAAATACAAACATAAATAGTATATTATTTTTCTGCTAGATAAAAGAATTTAAGGAGGAAAGCTTTATAACATCACACTACAACCGTACATGGCATTCAGTCGTGGATCAACCTTGCTGCACACCCAGCCTCTATTAAGTGGGTACTCTTAATCAAATAATTAATTGAAAAGGAAAAGTTGGCAGTTGAGTATGAGCTAATAAAATATAAGAGAATATCGTCAGTTTATTACACGAAGTTATTAAGTGACATTTCATAACCTAAAATCCTAAAGATGTTTAATGAATTTTTCCCAAGGGAAATAAAAAAGTTGTGTACATGTTATAACACTATTTGATGTATAAAAGGGTTTCTGTCATTTTAGTTCATTTACTGTATTTTTTTATTGATAAATAAAGTCGAAATTAAAAAAAAAATTCTTAAAAGTTCAGCTTCATCAAAGATGTACTTAGTGACTTTTTACAATATGAGTGTATATATTGTAATATTAAATTAAGAGATGAGTACTTTGACAAGAAAAACCATAGCACATTATGACCAAACTTTACCTACACAGCAACAGAAAAACTGGCAGCCAATATTTTCCTGTTATTACTTCGTAAATTTATTATATGTAAATAAATTAAAATATAAATTTCTAACAATAAAACAAACAGATTTGATCCTTAATCCTACTTTATTATTTCTTACAAACAAGGTTTCATCTCTTTAGGTCATTTACAAGGAAAGAAGCCTTAAAAAAAAAAAAAAAAATTACATCCTTATTATAATTCTAAATTAATTATTATTAAAACCTTATTATATATAGTAAGACGGTGATTGCTTTTTCGGTTTCTTTTCTTGTAAATGGCATAAAGGGCTGAATTGTTGGGTGAAAGAACAAATAAAGTAGGACTAAGGCTCGAATGTGTTTGTTTTATTATTAGAAATATAATTCAAGTCCTAACCAACAATATTAATATATCTTAAAAAAGATGTTAGTTTTTATACTTAAAAGGGCATTGCTGAATTAAAATTCCTTATTAATATAACTAATTACTATTTATTAATTATTAAAAAAGTATTAGGCCAAAGGTCACCAATAATAAACATTTTCACTTTAATATAATTCTTCAGTTCATCATTCTCTTATTTCATCGAATATCACTATTATTTCTCCTTAGTACAAGATATTAAGTGTGACATTCATCTACAACACATTTATTCAAGACTGAGTTGGATGAACATCACACTTAATATCTTCTACTAAGGAAAAATAAAAAAAACATTCAATGAAATAAGAGAATGATGAACTGACGAATTATATTATAATAATGTATTTTGAAATTTTTTTACGAAACTGCATTAATCTTAAAAATGGCTCTAGAGGACAAAACATTGAATAATAAATACATAAAGTGAAAACGTTTATTATTGGTGAGCTTTGCCCTAATACTTTTTGAAAAAAACAAAATAATGGCACTGAATCTAAAAAAATATGACAAAAAAATTATTTATTACATTTCATTGAAGCAATATCAAATAAAATATAATGTAATACAATAATTTTAATAAGTTTTTGCTCACTTATACATTGAATGAAGTCACTTAATATTGAAAAATCAGCCATGAATTATTGCAAATAACTAAAATTTAAATAAATTCATTCAACTTACACTGAAAACCAATTGAGTCCTCTTGAATCCTTGCTCGCTTGGTACTTTCAACATTTTTAATCATTCTTCTATATTCCCTTTCTTCTTGTTCTGCTTTCAATCGTTGAATTCTAGCTTCAAGTTCTGGATTCCTTGGAGTTTCAATTGGCTTGGGTAATTGTAATTCACAGCCAGATATCAGTTCATGGAAAGCAGGTGTGCTCTGTGAAAAAGAGTAAAAACCTATTTTACAGACAAGACAAGTTAAAGCGCAATCTATTCATAGATCATTAAAATGAAAAAAAAATGGATTAAGTTCATTAAAAATTTTTGAAAGAAAATAACAGCAGTTAAAATATCGAAGTTAATTATTTATTCTGTTATATCAGCAGTAGATAGACTGTGGTCAGAAGATCATCTGGAGGCACCCTTTCTTTGAGAAAAACCTGGTGATTGAGCACTTCTATAAAAAAAAGAATCTTAATGTAATTCCATAACTATGGATGGATAATGACATATTTCTAAGGAAAGGTGTTAAACAAAAAAAGTTTAGGTGTGTCTGATCTGTGGATTAAGGAAATTATGGATAGATGAAAGGAAAATAAATCAACAAACAGAGACTTTTCCTGTTTTTGTTGACTAGTAATGAAAGCTGCTCAGATAATAATGCTACTAATAATTTAAACAAAAAAAAAAGGCACCTTGGATCTGTATACTATTATGAAATGTGAGAATATCTGAGAGCCCTAAATAAAACTAAAATGTCTATTCTTTTAATCTCACATCTTTTCAAAAATTTTAAATACACCCACAGAGTTTTTGATCTTAATATAAACTCCACAAATTCATTATTTACAAATATCGAAACCAATATGTCATTTCTTATTATTATTTATTTTCTTTCATTTTTAGTAGGAAGTTTTAGCTAGTATACTAATTGATTTTGGTTCAATATCTATTCTATATATACACAGTTTCTATATGCTAAAGTTCATATATTTGGTACATAGTCCATAGTTTAGGTAGGTAGTTCTTAAGTAGTTCCATCTTGTCTAAGGACACTAAGATTCATCTGTATGACAAAATTATTTAGCCAATTTTCCTTCAAGACTCAGAAACATGGATTAACTTCAAAACTGGGGAGGTGATTGTTAAGAATGACAGAACATTCTTTGAGAGTAAGATTCTAGGTAAAATCTTTGGAGCTGTGAGGGTTGACTAAGTGTGAAAACATTGAATAAACCAGGAATTCAAACAGTTAATAATAATAAAAGGTTAGCGAACCCGAAGGTTCGATGCCGACACCACCAATCGCTTATTACACACCTCACTCCACCGTTTGCCGTCCAAACCCAGTCCCTTCAGATCGGCTTTAATACAATCTTCCCACCTTCGCTTTGGTCTACCTCTCGGACATTTACCATTTGGTACAGCAAATATTAACCTTTCAGGAATTCTTTCATTACAAAGCCCAACAATTTTAAAAGCCCATTTGATTCGCCACGATGAAATTACCTCAATTATATTACCCGGATACAGTTCACGCAATTCTGCGTTGTGTAACCGCCTGAACTCTCTGGTTAACTCATCCTTCTTCGGTCCGAATATTCTACACAATACTTTATTTTCAATACCTTAAGACGCTGCTCATTCTTTAATGTAAGCGGCCAAGTTTCGCATCCATAAAGAACTGTAGGTAAGATAATAGTTTTATAGATTCTAATTTTTAAGTTCCGGGACAAGAGGCGCGAGCTAAGTAGTTTTGTCACAGAAAAATAACAAGTATTTCCCGCCTTCAGTCTAACCTTAATCTCTTCTTCAACTTTGTTTTTTCTAGTTATCATAGACTCTAGATACCTAAACTTCTCTACCTGTTCAAACATATTACCATCTATATCGATATCATCAGTAATATCGCCATTTTTGCAGCTAACCATATATTTTGTCTTATCCGTGTTTATTTCGAGCCCTAGTTCTTTACTGGCATTCATTAACATTGTCATATTTAGTTTCCACGTCTTAGCTTAAAAGTATCAGATCATCCGCATAGCCCAGCATGGGTGTTGTCCCTCCCAGATCCAACCCTTTTTCGGTACGCATTACCTCCCTAATGGCAAATTGAACAGGACAGGCGAAAGGGAATCCCACTGTTTCAAACCCGAACGAACCTCAAACTTTTTGGACAGATTATTACTGATTCTAACTTTATTGAGTGTTTCTGTCAAGTACATTCTGACTAGATTTACTAGTTTTTTGGGAATCCCCTGCTCAATTAGAATATTATGCAGTTTCTGGCAGTCAATAGAATCGCAAGCCTTTTTGAAATTGATATACAGCTGGTGAACAAGACCGTTGTACTCTAATTTTTTCTCTATTATTTGCCGTAAAGAAAATATTGGAATTCAAACAGTTATTAAAAAAAAAAAACCAGGTTGGTTCAATATATGAAAATTAGTAGACTGAGGTATCTGCCATGGAAAATAATGACAGAGGAACTCCATCATCAAGGCGCAGAGGAAGAAAAAAAAAAGAGCTCTGCTTTGATGGATTGAGGGTGCGCCTGGTGGTACCAGGTCCAAAATGGGTATGTAAAAGAAGGAAGCTAATACAATCGTTGAGGGTGGGACACAAGGTCCATCAAAACTTCATACCAAGGAGGATTCTAAATCAAGTTGTAGGGCCTATTTGATGATAATAATAATAATAATAAATGGGTATTATGGTCTATGTAATCATTTGCCACCTAAAATGGTTTAATCCAATACTATTAATGTTTAATAATGGAATAATTATTTATCATGAAATTAGAAAATAAATAAATTAAAAATTATGTTCTTATTAAACTAATGATGAAAATGGCTAATTACCACTGAATTTTTAATAATAAAATTTATTTATAATTTTATTACCTTTTTATTGGAATGAAGCCATGTGATGTCATCAACGGTAGCTAGGTTACCTTCTTTGGAACACATCTTGATGCTTTCTGGAATGTCTTCTTTGCCTTCCATTGCTTCTTTGAAAGCCTCAGCCATTTCTCTATTGAGTTTAATCATTAGTTGAAAGGAGTCGCTAGCAACTGTCATTTTGACTAATGTTCTGTGATCTTTAAATGGTCAAGTTTTTCTCTAAGTTTTCATAAAATGAAATTATATCTTTTTCATGATCATCAAATTTTTTCTCTACTCTAGCATATTGTTCAGTAAGATCATTTTCAAATTTTTCCCACCTTTCTTTACGAATAGCACGCTTACTGGCTAACAATGAATCCTGAAACACAAAAATTGTGATTATATTCAGATCAGTGCGAGTTTGTGTTTGAAGTATTTTTTTGTTTAATCCCTTCTACAATAGCGAAAAGGTCCAAGTTAAATTGTAGTAATTACTCAGGTCCAAGTATGTAAGATAACATAAAATTTAACAAAATCAGATTGATTTTTGTTATGAAAATAAAATAGGATAAAAGTAATGGAAATTCAAAATATAAAGGAGCATATCGTATCAGAAGTTTAAAGTATCATTTAACAGATACTAATCTACATCAGTGTAAAAAAATTTCTAAATTTAAATAAATAATGTATATGAAATTGTGGCAACGGCCTTAGGACCTCAAGAATTGCATCCAAAAAGCCAAGATAATATGAATTTTATAATAATTAAAATTATAAGCTGGGTAAAGATTCAAAATTTATTGACCATTGCACCAAAGGCACAAAACTCGTAAATAAGAAAACAGACTTTTTTTTCCTAACCTCCATTTTATTTTTCAACTATTGCAATATAAGTAAGTACATGCAATGTAAAATTGGTTAATTAGGTGGGAAGGGAGTACCTGATACAAATTCGTACCAGGTTCTTAGTACCCACGACTGCTGACTGTTCTATTTATTAGTAATAAATTAAGCACTTAAGAATAATCAATCACTAGTGCTTTCTTCTTTAACTCATTTATAAAGATTTAATTTACATAATACCTGTTAATGGTCTTATCTTTATTGAAAAGACAATTTTAAATACTGTCCACACCATATTATAATGTTCAGCTAACATAAATCAGCCTACTACCTTCCGTTTAGACTTCATTTATGTAAATCAACCTTACTATCATTTCTAATACAACCACATACCCAAATATTTTTATATATCTTGTTATAGTTTGATATTAAATAACATACATTGCAAAGAGTATGCATAATACACATTTTTACTGTACCAAATAAAAAAATGGGATGTAATGGCAGAACAACTAATTTAATTATTTCGCACTCGATGATGCTAAAGAAAAAAAGAAGGGAGACAAGTCCTGATAGAAGACAAACTCCACTGGCAAGAACCAGTTTTTTCCATCTCTTTAACAATCTGCAGTCAATGCCTATTAAAATGAACAAAAAATATCATAATGCCATAGGCAGTGTTTGGTATAAATATTTTTATTATCAATTGCACTTATTCAAGAAACTAAGAATCTTCTACTAGGTACAAAATAGGTCTGGCAGATAACAGTTGTCATTATTTACTTAAAATAAAAACAAATTTACCATCGCAACAAACAAGTAAAATAGAGTAGTTATGTACAATAGTTTGGGTGGTACTACTTCACAAATTTCATTCAAAAACAATCATCCAAAAGGAATGCTAAAGATAGTCTAATGAGTCTGGCAGAGCTGCATTGACTTATAAGTTTGTTTAGGTTACATTTCTGATTTTCTAAAGAGTAAATTTGGGTATTTTCAGGAATCATGGAACAGAGTGCTTTGTTGGATGATCTTGAAACTGGCCACCATCTTGAACATACCAAACAGAATTGGTATCAAAAACTGATTATGATGAGTCGAGAGAGAGAAATATGTTAGAATTTGAGTAACAAATACTATAAAAAATTAAACACTTCTCCCGGTACTAGTTCACAACAGTTCCGCACGGATTACGCATGGTTCACAATCACTTCGATCACACTTGTTCCTGGAATCCCGAATGCGTTCGTGTTTCTCCAAAAGAGAACGAAGGCGACCGATCTCTTGGGCCAGTTACTATTAACTTTCCCGCCATTTAAGTACTTTAACCTTAACCACGTTCAGTTATATAGCAGGAGCAGATTTACATTCCAAATTTAGGCTACACACCATGAAACCTGAATTGAGCTTGTACATATATTATAGATCTGTAAAAAAGAAATAGTAATACATAAAAATCTTTAATTATTACATTTCTGGCTGCTATTTCACGATATTATTTTTCTTATAGATGATTTCCAATATTCATTATCTTGGAATTACTACATATTCTTCGTCAGTTGTTTCCCAAATACGTTAATTCCTTTCTCGAAAATAAATACTTTTTATTTTGTACCATAGCCTACAATAATCCATTTTTTCGGATTACCAAGAAAAATAACTGCGAATAACAATAATTACACATCATAATTACAAATCAGACAATATATGCATACAAAGCGCCCCCCTCCACTTGAAAATAGCCCCTCGTATTATTAGAAATCTAAAAAAATACATAAACGATTGCGCAATTCTAAAAAAGGCTTGCGAAAATAAATTATAAATTCAATTACTCCAACTTCTATTGAAAAACTCGAATAACAAAAAAAAAGATAATAGATAACTTAAAATTATTTATTATCCAAATGATAAAAAAATCTTTTATACACAGTTATAAAAGATAATATACAGTATATGCGTATTTACAGTCACTACATGTAAGCACGTGTCAATAAAAATCTTATTACTAAAAGCTTTTTTTTTTAATATGGCTTGAAGAAACTACTCAAACATTATTTTATGTTATCTTAGCCCTGATGAAGGCCTGAACTTCAGGTCGAAACGTCGGCATATGTAAAAAATAAATATTATCATTTATTTTTGCCTTCCTTTTTGACTGACCTCCCCAACTATTCTTCTGTTCATTATCCACGACAGTCAACCAATTACCAATTATATTTTATGTTTCTTTTTCTTTCAAAGTAATAACCGTTATAATAAAAATTAATAATTAACTGATTAGTAAATTCACAATTTTTTAATAAGGAAGTTCCATAAAGGGAATACGTTGTATTTTTTTCAAAAATGCATGAAAAGGGATTGTATTATGGGGCAATAGCTGACGTCATAAAAGACGACAACATTCGGCTGGTTTCGGGATTCCATGAACAAGTGTGATCGAAGTGATTGTGAACCACGCGCAATCCGTGTGGAACTCTTGTGAACTAGTACCCTTCTCCCTTTTCATATAAGTAAAAAAAATTAAGAAGTTTACAAATTTTATTTACTATTCATATTTTGATTTTTTTTTTTTTGGTGTTATATTACGTGGCCTGATTTAACTTAAATATTGTTTCAATAAATACGGATAGTGTTTTATTTGATAATTACTATAATTTGAATAGAATTTATACCTTAACATTTAATGTTATCCTATCAATCATTTTGGAGTGACACTAAAAGAAATACTGTTTAGGCTACAGTTCTCCTTTAAAAAAAAACACCTAGATTTTCTATGTATTGCAAGTCTCTAGTCTACAATAGAATAGTATTTGATAAACTAATTCGAATGAGAATTAGACTATCTACAACTGTCTAAATAGATTAATCAATATAGAATGAAAAGACAATAACATACTATGTCAAAATTTTCCTCTTTTTCCAAAATAGTATCACAGGTCTGCAAAGCAATATCAAGAAGAATGTTCACTTTTTTCAAATCATCAACAGCAGTAGAGGCTTCAGGTATTTGATTATGCTTAATATCATTGATCCATTCACCAACATCAGCTAATTTTACGACTTCACTATCTCCTCTCGATTCCTTGAATTATAAAGTTTGGACGAATGATTTAATCACAGTAGCTACAGAAAATTATTTTTATAAAAATAAATAAAAAATACCTCAAATTCTTTGATAAAATATTTTATTTCTCCACTTAAAAAAGGTCGGTGATCAAACAGCCTGTTCCAAATATCACCAAAATCTAACAACAAAATAGTGAAACTTAGTAGTAAACAGGACACGCCCCTTTCAATACTTTAATGATTTGCTTAGATAAATGTGAATGTATTCAAATAATAGATTAAAATTGATGTTCTATTAAAAAATATTTAACAACATGAAAATAAGGAAAGGATAAATCACGTTTTTACTACAAAAATAAAGAATAGTTGTCAAATGACACCAATTGATAAAAATATGAATTTTGAACAAGTATATTGGGTACAAGTTTATTTTGAAGAGTACCTAACTCAAACCAGAGGATTAAAAACAAAGAGGATACCTTTAGCAACTGTAAATAGCATATCTAAGAAAAATATGTCATAGTCACACTCCTAACACACAAATATTTACTAACTCCCAGGTGGAGACTAGGAATGAGGTTTCTCCGTCACAGGTTTCTGTCCCTTGCCCTTCTTGTCAAAAAGGCCTCGGAACTTATAGTAAATTTATTTTAGAAAAAAAAATTAGTTATAAAATATCTATGTTCGTTGAAAGGTTCAAAAAGTATATATATTTTTTTAAATTATATAATCCTAATAATAAAGATTATTAATAAGTAATTTATCAGTTATTTTCTGCAATTCTGTTTTGTAGCTAGAGTGCAGCACTGTAAACACTTCAGTACAAGATGGATGTCAATCGGACCAGATATGTCGAACTTTGTTTATTTTTAACCCGCTCCCTAGATGTTATTTAAATATTTCCCCAGACAGATGTGGATGAAGTAAATAGGCAACCCTACTTTCTCGATATAATGCCCGGACTTATTGGCGTCAATGAGTTCGTTGACGAAACAAGGGAGGATTACAACTCCCCAACAACCTCAACATTTGTCTCTCGTATGCCCCAGTGTAGACAGACAATTTCAAATTTGGAAGAGGTACGTTGCTCTAGCTCAATAAAATTTCTTTTATTCTATATTATAGTGATTGAAGTATTCTATCCTTCAAAATTATCACGACGTAGTTGACCAATTAAGGATGGTGATATCATATGCATATTAATGTGTTTGATTTCTCTTAGTTTTCAAATCTTGTTTCCTTTCAGACGCTTGATTTTGACAGAGATGGCCTTACTAAACTTAGGAAAGCTATTAAATCTATTCACAACTCTGGGAACTGTAAGAAAACAGTCAATTTATGAAGACATAAATTTAATCATTTCTTCGAGACTTCATTTTTTATTTATTTTCAGCTCATGTTGACAACGAAATGTATTTTGCTAGAATTTTGGAAAGGCTGGGTGGTAATGCTATGTCCAAAGATCAGGAACCTGATATAGGTGCTGCTTTTCTCAAATTTGCTGTTGTTACTAAAGAACTTTCTGCCCTGATGAAAACTCTGGTATTTGTACACTATTATTATTTTGGGAATTAATTTACTATTTTTGTCACTAACTATTGCCAAATAATGTTCTTTAAGATGCAAAATATCAACAACATTGTGATGTTTCCATTGGAAAGTTTATTGAAAGGGGATCTGCGTGGTGTTAAGGGTGATTTGAAAAGACCATTTGATAGAGCTTGGAAAGATTATGAAGCCAAATATGCAAAAATTGAAAAAGAGAAAAAACAGCAAGCCAAAGAAGCTGGTTTGATTAGGACAGAGGTGACATCTGCTGAAATAGCTGATGATATGGAGAAAGAGAGAAGACTATTTCAGCTCCAAATGTGTGAGGTAAGTAATAAATCTGTCATTTAAATGAATGCCACTTTCTTGACAGATGTTATCATTCTTATCACTCTTCATTAATAACTTTGTTATACATGAATAAAATCTTAATTCTTCTGTGATTTTTAGTACTTGATTAAAGTCAATGAAATCAAAACAAAGAAGGGAATTGAATTACTTCAACATCTTGTAGAATATTACCATGCCCAAACAAAGTGAGTTACATTGATGATTTTAATGCTCACTAGATATTATTATTGTCCTCTATTATTATCCATCAAAATATTAATTTTAATCTGAGCATTTATTTCAATTTATTTTATATTTGAGATTGATTATATCAAATATAAATTTTAATGAGCTAAATTAAAAATTACTGATTTATTGCCTCTAGTTATTTCCAAGATGGTCTGAAAACAATTGAACACTTTGGCAACTATGTTGCTGATTTATCTCTAAAGTTACAAAAGGTGAGACAAAAGCAAGATGAGGAAAGGAGGCGACTTACCGAGTTACGAACTTTGTTGAGGAGTTCACCTGGGCTTGAAAAAGAAGTAAATGGATTTAAATATTTTATTTAGGTGTAGACATTTTATTGTTGTTTTTTTCATACTAGTTATTTTTCTTTCAAAATAATTTTAAAAATAGTAAAAGGAAGGACTACATTTTTCCTGGCGTTTAAACGGTGTTATTTAGCTGCACTTATAACTGTTTTAGGATAAGAGTGTATATATAACTTTCCAAATATTTCTGTTTTTCTTATCAGCTGTCAAATTATGATATAATGCTGTGTTAATTTTTATCAGGAGCCTTTGTGCTGCTGTAGTCCTCAAGCAATGTAAACAATATATATTGAGGTACAAATATTTACAACAAACTTCATTGCCTTGTTCAATGCTATTATTAATTTTTAGAAAAATTCTTCCTAAAATATTTATTGCGTTTTAAGGTCTATTCAGAGCTCAGAGAATTTTAATGTTGGCATTAAAATTTAATATCAATCAAAATTCCATTTGCCATTATACTTATAACAACTACAAAGATATTGTTCTGCCATCATTGATTTAAACTTTCAATCTTTAAGCAATCCTATTAACTGAGGATGTGAAACTAAAAATATTAGCTTGTTATTGGATTTTTTTTTCTATCCTTGACCTTTCTTTACTTTCCTGCCACTATCAGGTAAGGAAAGTATTGTAATCAGGTCAAATTTTTGATATGCAGTTTTCAACATTTCTTTGAGTTTCCAAATCCTCGCAATCCAAAAAGATATTTTCAGCCATGGGTCTGTTTGTCTGTACCATAATTATTTCTCAAATGGCTGGATCTATTCTGTTTGTTATTTTTTTGTTTTGTAAGGTTTCGGCCTCTGATGGCTGTGTACCGAATCAGGCACTCTGTATATAAAAGTGGATTTGCGATGAGAGAAAAATGTGTTTTTCTACTCATTGTTGTACCTAAACTGCTTGAACAATTATAATGAAACTTGACTATTGTCTTCACCTTGAAGCCTTTGTAATTTTCATAAATGTAATAAATCCCCGAGAAATAGCAAACAAAGAAATTACATGTTATATGTCAATCATAACTCAAAAAGTATCCAGTTTCCATTAAAACATAAAAAGTATGTTTATACAATCTTTATATTCCATAACATGTTTATTGTTATAAATTATGTGGTAATGAAAATTTTATAAATCATGAAATTTATATAATAAGCATGCACTAGTGTTCATAGCCTTGGTAGCAACTTTGCTACATATACTGCTAGTTATCTCTCATTATTTAGTAATAACAATTAGTTGCTAAAAACATAAATAAAGAAGGGAGTAGTGCTATTAGACAAATAAAATGGCATGGATTATAACAAATCCTGCTATTTCAACAATGAATTCTTATTTAACATATTTGAGGCCAGGTTTCCCCTTACATTCTGTTTGTATGTACGTGATTAAAGATTTGATAGATCTAAAATTTCTGTTAATTAATTATGATGCTGAACATAGAGAAAATGTTTTATTTATTTTATTAATCAGTTGAATGGAACAAAATTAGGATTTCCTTTACTTTTATTTTTGTTCTGAGTGCTCATTTCTAGATGTTATGTTCTCCTTTTTTTATTTTTCCTTTTTATACCAGTTGTTAATTTTAAATAATGATAATACCCCTGATTTATTTAATAGTATTTTTTTTTTAAATTAAAGAAAATTTACATTTTTTTTTTTTGTTCCCATGAGAAAATTTTCCTAATTCCTATGTTTTTAAGTGTGCTGAGTCAGAAACTGAAGTCAGAAAAGTTTCATCAGGAACCATTTTTAAGAAAAATGAGGTTGAAGTTGAAAAAACGAAAATTTTGAAAATAGTATGTTTATTTATTTTATTTTTTGTTTTATTTTATAAAGTGATGTCCTTTTTTAAATATATTTTAATTTTTTTAAAGAAGTGTAATTATTTTTTATTTATATATATATTGTAAGAAATATATATGTTTTTTTAATTTGGTTTTTAAAGTAATATAGTTGTTTCTTTTTTAATTATTTATAATTTATTTTTAAGTTCTTTTTTATTTTTATTACTTTTTTTTTAAAGTTCGGAGAGGATTAAGGATTTTATAAATTATTTAATTTATATTTAAACTAGACCCCGTGATCTAGGCAGGTGGTACAATTGAACTACTTGATCCCATTCTTTATTTTGGGGTCCATTAGAGAGATAGTGGTATCAGCAGTGTTCTTAAAATGGCTGGTGGCTCCTTTGATTAATGTCAGATAGTTATTCTAAAGCTGAGAGTACCCAGGACTTGAATCCAAGTCTTCGGAAAGCAAAGTACTGACTTGCTATGTAGGAAGCTAGTGTTATTTCACACAGTTCATCCTGTTTTCTTCGGCAAAGAATAAATAAGAGTTTATTAACTTTCTATTAATAATTAGAATTTTATTAATTGTAAATTTATATTTAATTATGAATGAATACTAGAAAGCCGTATTTTATTTTTTAAAACTATCTTCCAACTGACATAAAGTATAATTTATTTTTTTATTTCTTAATTACTCATATACGTAATTCATATGATTAATAATCTTAAAAAATGGAAACAATCTTTATTTGAAATTTCGCTCCAAGAACAGAGTTGGGCAAAAGCCAGCACACCAAGATATCTCTTGCCAGCTGCACTACGACATACAGTTTGAAAATCCACAGATATCAGTGTTTGGTATGGATTTGTGGTATCCTACTGTGTTAATGGTGCTTCTAAAACCCCTCTTTGCTTCTAACCCTCACAAAAAGCTTGTAGGAAATGAATGAATCATTTTTACAGTCCTTTACTTTCAGATACTATACACAAATTCAAATTTATTTTAAAATACTTATAATTCCTAGTCACTTAATTTCCATTCATTATCATACATAAGAGTTTTAAATTCAAAGAACAAACAGTTTTAAAAGAATTATACCCAAACTTTTTAATATTGGATTAACGACAAAAAAATTCTAATTAAAACCATTTATTATATTAGGAAAAACTAACGTGTGTGCTTTAGACTACAGGATAGAAGTTAAAACATTAACAAGGTGAGATTAATAATATGAAATATTAATTATAAATATATCTTATTACAAAGAGGATGAAATGCCGAACATTTCCCTCTCTTACAGTATGCAGATCCAATTTTTAGTCTCTGAGATATTTGAAAACATATCTTCCATAAAACTGGTTATCATTTGGTTTTCAACACAATTTTTTTCCTCTCCTACTGTCTAACACAGTGTTGGGTCAAGATACAATTTTGAATAATAGCCCATTACAGATAGGATGAATTGCTAAACAATTACCTAGCTTGCAGAATGCAGGTTTGATTTTTAGTTTCTGAGATATTTTAATCCATATCTTCAATAAAACTCGTCATTTGCTTATCACAGTTTTTTCCTTTTCTTCTTTCTAACTCGGCGTCGCATTAAGATCAATTAAGTCGCATTAAGAATAATAGCTCATTACAAAGAGGATGAAATGATGAATATTTCCCTTACAATCTATATGAAAGTACAATTTTTAGTTTTTGAGATCTTTTAATCCATATGAAAAAACACTTCAATTAGTCAATTCCAGCTGACTTTATCTAAACACTACACATCAGAAATCTGACAGCAATCGAATTCACTCTCCGTTAAAAGGTGCAAAACGCACCTAAAGTAGTTTTCACTTTAAAAATATTTTCCTCTCAGTATTGTTCTCTTTTTTTCTTAAAGCACTTGTTTATGTTTACTACAGTAGTCTATGACTATTGTTTTATTGTTTTACTGTTCATTGTTGGTAACTTTTGACATAACTGTCATTTTATTAGTTATGTAAGTAGTAAGAAATATGTTATGTTGTCTTTAACCTACCTCTCTCTTTGAGCAAGTTTCAATTCAGATATGTTTCTGGAATAAGCTGTAATGTTTATGTATTTGAATTGCAAATGTGGATATTTTATTCTGTAATTTAAAATAAATTTTCACAAATGAAAATATTGATCGAAATATGATAAGCTTTATTTATTCTTTTCTAAGGAAACAAGAAGAGCTACTGGATAGGTGGTTTTCTAAGCTGTCCATTATGCTCTCTTTCAAAATAATTTAGGTTGCATGAGATATATATATTTTTTTTTCTTCTCCCCAACCTCGCCTTTTTAGGCTATACAGGAGTTTTCCTGGGCCAGGGAGTGAGGGCGGGGAATTTAAAAGATCCCCAGGCACCGGGACTCGTAATTTTATTGTCTCCAAATTTTAGTTATCAAGTTGCCAGGCAACGCGTGCTGCTGAGCACACACGTTAGCCCGTCCGGCCACCCCATCCTCCCTGCTTGCATGAGCTCTGTGATTTAGCAGACCTCTTGTGTCTACCTTTGTAGACACAAGAAATCTGCTTAGGCTCAGCCCTACTATGAATATCTAACAACATAATAGTGCTAAAATGATATATTTTCTTCCTAAAAAAATTTTAAGATCGAGATCTTTTTAATATAGGTACGGCAGAGAATCTTTTAATCAATAGGGACTGAATTTAGGTTTGGTAATGATTAAGAAGGCCAGGTTTTGGATAATAAATTTATATATATAATATTGCAGTTATTGTTATTTGTTTAAGCGTATATATACAATTTTTTATTTTCATGTAGTCTATATAGTTAAATATTAATCAACATTTGATTAGGAATGCCCCTCAAAAAACCATGACCATACCTACACTCTTAGTGGCTGCTGGTTCCCTATCTATTTTCTGTTAAAATTAATAATAATTTTACAGATAAATCTAAACTATGTATAGTAGGATATTATAGAACCCTTTTCCAGCTCTAGGGAGTGATGGATTTTGAAGAATGAGGTATCAAACAAAAGGTAATTTCATATAAAAATAATGAATCATAGTTTTCAAGATGGTTTCATAAATTGACAGATCGAGACGGGATAGATCGCTTTTTAAATATTCCGATACAGGCATCATGATAGTTCTAAATAATAACCTTTAAAATGTAGTTTTTGAGATACCGCAAAGGCTCAATATTGTTCTAGTGTTAGTGAATCTTGAAGCCAAGATTGTCATGGATTCCTAATTATAATAATTTCAATGTTCTTTTTATTGTAGCCTATCTTCAAGTATTATTTCTCAAAGCTATTTTTTTGTCAGAACGCCATATCTTGGTTAATTATTCATCAAATCCAATGATTGAGCCATCAGTTTGAAGGTTATCTTCTTCAGTCAAAAGAAAAAAGTTATAAAGATAAAGAAATTTTACTTGCACATAAATCAAAGAGTAAACATTTTATGATTGATTATATAATTGATTTGAATGCTTTCTTAATTCCTTACAAAATGAAAAAACAAATTTTAAAATCTGGCTATATTTAGTAAAGATACTGCTAATTGTAATTGGTACCCATGTTTTGGTCCATTATTTTTAATTAAAATTAATTCCTCCCTGAAATAAACACTTTTCATTTACTCATTTCCATATCATATTGCTATTCATTTAGTGACCAATTTACTTGTAATTTATTCGCAAAGGGCAACTAGTTTGTAAATAAATGTTTCAAATTACACTACTTTTGTTTTTAGTTAATTAATTACATTTATGATCATAATCATTATTTAGTGGTTTATAGAAACTTAAAAAAGAATTATATTTTAATGTTAATTCAAATTCAGATGGGGCATACACCTGAGAAAGGAGCGGGATATTCACTTCATCAACTTCAGGGTGACAAAGGAGCTGGCCTCACCAGAACTGGCCATTTATTGAAGAAGTCTGAAGGGAAGATGAGAAGAGTGTGGCAGAAAAGAAGATGTTGCGTCCAGGCTGATGGCTTCCTTGACATATGCCATGGTGACGAGTCAAAACCTCCTGTTAGAGTTAACCTTCTCACCTGTCAGATCAAACTTGTCCCAGATGACAAAAGATGTTTTGACCTAGTGTCATGTGAGTATGAAATGAATTGCTTACGCTATAGGTGATTCTATGGGTGACACCATTAAGATTAAGAATAATATTCTTTAAAAAAAAAATAGATCAATTATTCTTTTGTTTCTAGTTTTCTTTCACTACTCTAAGATCAGGTTTCTAAGATTTCAAGATCACCCAGAACACATCATCTCCAATAAATGCCTAAAAAAAAATCTTGTTTACACTTGACTTAGCTTTGACTTACATGAATTGTTTAGGTTAGGTTAAGATATTTTCATGCCTTTCCAATACCTTAATACATAAATTAATAAACCATATAATAAGGAAAATATCTTCTGCTTAAAAATAAGTTGATATAGATTGTTGACCTTCCACACAAAATGCTGAAATATGTAACCAAAATTAAATTGAAATTTTAACTCCTTCCCCTCCCCATCACTTATGGATATGAAGAAAATATTAATACAAAAAAAACATATTGATATAATAGCCAATAAAATAGCCATATTGAAATTTCCACTCTTCACTGATAGCTACAAAGAAATTCGAAATAGAGAAAGTACATATAACAAATACCCATAATAAAAGAATATGTTAAAGAGATAATTTTTATCACTGAAAATTCATAGCATTATAATAATTATTATTCATAGTCAACAATGCCATTATTAGATTGGAATCCTACAAATTAAAATCCCTCTTAATATGGTGTGTAATTTACAATCAAGAGTTGTGAATTAGTTGTCTCTGTCTTCTCTTGAACACAGAATATTTTCGGGAAACAAGGAGTAGCATGCTTAGAGTGATTTTGAAACCGGCCACCATCTTTGAATTGAGAACGAGAAGTTGTACCAATCTTTTGTTATGCCTGAAAAACTTATTTGTAATTATTTTTGATTTTGCAAAAGAATCCATTTTATATTTTCAATATACCTTGGACTCCACCTGGACAAACGTCTAACTTGGAATCCTCATACCAGACTCCTCTAACCGCTCGACGTTGCCGACTACTTCAGCACTTACTAGACAAACGCTCTAACCTTTCAATTAATTACAAAAGACTCATATACATGACCATAATAAGACCTATTTGAACTTACGGAGTTGAGGTTTGGGGCTCCACTAAACTATCAAATTCCTTTCATATCCAATCTTTACAATCCAAAATCCTTAATGCTCCTTAATTTGTAACAAATAAAATAATCCATAATGACCTGAATGTTCCATGTTTCCAATTTGGCCCAATCCAGATACCTATCCTTCCATAATAAACTTCAGAGCCATTCTAGTACTCTCGTTTCTAACCTTGCTTCCTCCTCGATTGCTGATAACCCTCCTAGGCGTCTGAAAAGAAGATGGCTTCGTGATCTCCTAATTTAGAAACTTTATTAGAGTGCTACCAATGGGTAGATTCTCTACAAGCCTTGTCATGTCATGTATTTATCTGTATCACATTTGTTGAATGTATATTAAATGTACAGTTGTAAATTTCATAAATAATAATAAAAAAAAAATGTTTTCAATATATATTTTTTCAGACAATCGTACTTATCACTTTCAAGCTGAAGATGAAAATGACCAAAGAGCTTGGATGTCGGTTCTAGTAAATTGTAAAGAGGGGGCACTTCTCAAAGCCTTTGATGATGGTAGCAAATCCTCAGGTGGTGCTACAACTAACCCAAGCCTTCTAGAACTTCAGCAGGCCATCATCAGGCATATCCAACGGTTACCAAGTAATGATAGGTGCTGTGACTGTAATTCTCAAAACGGTATGTTTTGTTAATTTTTCATTTTTATCAATATGTAGTTTTATTTAATTAAAATAAAATCTCGTTTTTTCTTCTAATCAGACACTACATGGCTGTGTATAAATTTCGGAGTTGTCGTCTGTATTGAATGTTCCGGCATCCATCGAGATCTTGGAGTCCACATTTCTAGAATACAAAGCCTTACGTTAGACCATCTTGGTACATCTCAATTACTTCTTGCAAGGCATATGACTAATCAAGGTTTTAATGAAGTAATGGAGGCTACATTGCACTCTGGTAGCAAACCTACACCATCGAGCTCCATGTAATTACTCACTTTTTTTTATATTAGTATTAGTTTTTAATAACTTTTGTCTTATTCTATTTATCTCAGTTTGAACTCCATTGACTTTAATTGATGATTTCAAGTTAGTTTTATTCTTATTAGATAAATATTTAACTGCATTAGAACAATGCTTATCCATCCTAAAACCAAATCAAGTAGTCACCCATTGAGCAAGAGACTTTATTAATCCGGAGTATATAGAAGAAAATTATTCAATATTAATCTAATTTATAAATTTCATCAAACATATATATATAACACAAATATTTATCAGTGGGTCAATAATCTATAACTTTAAATAAAAATGTCTGTTGATACATGATTTAATTTAAGTGTACAAGCAATTGTTATTTGTTAATTGTTTTGCCCAACTTATTATTTGCATCAATTAAAAGAAAATTCCAAGTGTTATTTAGAATACTGAAAAACTTGATACATATCAACTTCTTCCTGTAGTAAAATAAATACTACTTGTTATTTTATTTATTTCTTAAGTTCATGGTTCAAGATTTTCTATAGTAAAAACAATTTTCTGTTTTATTTTATAACTAACTTATAGGTGGCCTTAAAGTTAAAAAACTGAAAGCAATATTTTAAATTATAATTCAATAAATCATTTTGTAACCAAATACTGTAGAATTACTAATATATTTTTTTTTTGTTTTATAGTATCATGCCTTTAAGTAAACTTTTTTCATTTCACTATTCAACATTTTTTTAAAATGTATCTAAACGTGTTGTGTATTATAATGACAATTTCTTTTTTCTCAATTTTTTGCCCATAGGTCAAAAATTATGGATAAAATAATTTATGGGCAAAACGAGAAGAGAAAACAATTAATGAAGAAATTTCAAGACTATAACTAATAAAACAATATATTCTTTTTATTCGTTTCAGGGAAGAAAGGTATGATTTCATAAGGGCTAAGTATGTCGATAAGAAGTATGCTATGACAACATGCTCTGACGAACACGAATTGCTGTCAGATTTAGAACATGCTGTCAACAATAAGAACCTCTACCATCTGCTCCAGGTGTTTGCCGAAGGTGTTGATTTAGGTGCTCCTTTACCATCATCGGTAATTAGCCATAATTTGTTTTCCTTTATAATTAGAATTATTTTGATAGTTATTTTTAAAGTACTTCGGTCAGTAGTATTGATCTAATTTAGCAGAATGATTATCTTTTAACTTAACTTTTTATCCATAATAGTTAATTGATTTACCAAAACTTCGTTCTGCATTATTTCAAAGAGAATTTAAAGTTTTATTTAATAATATTCGACATATACCCAATTACATCATTTGCAGTCAACAAAAATAAAAGTCATAAGATACGACCCCAACCCACAGCGTAACCCAACAAGATCAACCCCACCCACACTCCCCTCCCCAAAAACCAGAAAATTAGCAAACCACAACAACAACATTCATCACAAAAAAAAAAAAAAAAAAATACAACAACAACACTCAACACACCATCCCCCCACTAGCATTAACCCAACAAATATAACAATACCCCCAAGTACACTTAACAACCCCCCCAGCCATAATATCTCGCCCCCCCCCCAATCCCCAACTCTCACGAAAAATCCCAAATTTTCCACCCCCAAACAAAAACCATTACCAATAATTTTCACAACTTCCCCCAAAAACCAATCAAAAAAACCCCATTCTAACCCTCCTCCCCCCAACCCTCACATCGACGACCACCCATCGACATCCCCACCCACCCTAACACAAACAAAAACATCCCTCCTAATCAACATTCATGCCCTCACGCTAATATCAACACTAAAGTACGACTATTAGTTATTAAACTGTTATTTTTCATTGCAAAGTTTACTAAAACGGAATTAAGAGATTTCCATTGTCTGTCATAGACAAATCGAAAGTTGTCACACTAATTGTAAGTGGATACTGTTGGAATATCACAAAAGAAAATTTCATCAAACTATTCACTAATTTAATTTTTTAATTTTAAAAGGTTACATGAGGATTTTTCAGAATAAACGGACGATAGATACCTAAATATTTAACTATAATATCAGATCTAGAATTATTAAACTACAGTAAATATATTTAAGGTTATAAATGTATCTATGAAATATTTTTATAATTCACTTCTTATTTCACACAAGTACAATGCAATAGTAGTGGATACTGTTAGAATATCACAAAGGAAAGATTCATCAAATTATTCACTAATTAAATTTTCTAAAATGTTACATGACAATATTTCGGAATAAACGGATGTTAATACCTAATTATTTAAATATAATATCAAATCTAGAATTATCAAACTGCAGTAAATGTATTTAAGGTTATAAACATATGCTTTATACATTGATAAAATGATTTTATATTTTAATTATTCTTTCACACAAGTACAATGAAATAGTTTTTTAAACAATCTCAAAACCTTAATTAGGTGGATTTTAAATACTTTTTTCAAACTTAAAAATATTTTAAAAGTTTACATTTAGTTAGTAAATTTCATTTAATTTTCTTGAAAACATGTGATTTACGTTAAATATTATTAGTTTTCAAAAATTATTATTTATAATTTTTTGCTGCTCTCTGTTACCTTCTACAACTTTCTATATTAGACATTGTTTTTTCTAAAATTCTCCGCTTTCCAACGATATATTATTCCTGTACTTCTGAATGATATTTCTGGAAATTCATTTTCGACCTAGATAGGCATTTTTATTTTTTTCTCCTTTTTTAATTATCAAATTCTTTCAAAAGTTATATTTAGCATTTTTTCTTAACTCTTAATAATGAGAGATAGTTAATTATTTAAAATAAACCATATTAAAGGTACTTTAATTAATTATTTAAAATAAACCATATTAAAGGTACTTTAGAGGAATACGCATATGAACATTGGCCATTTAAGCCCTGTAAAGTAACATCAACAGGGATAAGACTTGAATTATATTAAAGACAACTTAATTATACAATGATACACTGAGTTTAATCAAAATCATTAGAACCGTTTTTGAGAAAATTGTAAAAATGTGTTGCAGCGTTGATATAAAGTGCCACTTCTGGTTAGCCAATTTTAAGGAATAAGTTGCTGTCACATCTAAGGCATGTGATATTATCTATCTCAAATATGTAATATCAGTTTCGTACGCCTTTTTGTTTTTGGGCTAGACTGCTAACAAACAGACACACAGACCATTTTTCGGGACTCAGTTATTTGGATTCAGGGTACCCTAAAACGTATATTTCCATTGAAAACTCAGATTCCAAAATTTTCACGATCGCAATACTTACCCTTACTAACACAATATTGTTTGTATTTTAGTGTTAAACTTGAATGTTTTAGGTGATGTTAATACTTCTGACATGCAGCTTTTATATTTTTTTTTATATTATTTGTATTATTAGTAAAAATAAATATATAGTATAAATACAAATTTTTTTTTTGTTATAGGATTGTGGTGAAACTGCACTTCATTTGGCTGTGATTAGGGAAATGGGCGCTTCTCTTCACCTTGTTGACTTTTTAGTACAAAATATGTCTTCATCAGGCATTGACAGGCAGACTGTAGTTCTGGGTGACAGGTAATGTTTGTTAGAATTATTAATTATTAATAATTTCTTTTTTCAACACTGATTTTTTATTCCAGTCATTCCAAGTATGCATTTCCATATTGACAATTTTCATGAAGATAAAGAGCAGTAAGAATTTTATTTTTATTTTTCCAGGGGAGGTGATAGTGCTCTTCATATGGCTGCGCTTCATGATAAAACAGAATGTATGAAGCTTCTGTTGAGGAGTGGTGCCGATCCTGTGCTTCACAACGCCCAGGACAAGACACCTCTCGACATTGCACAAGAAAGGGGCCATTCCTCGTGTGAGGAGTTGGTTAGTATTTCTCTTCCTATAATTCCATTTAAAAAATAGCTTTTTTTTTTAAACGGCTAATAATTAAATCTACAAATGAATATAATAAGTTAACTGAGAACCACCTAATAATAGTTTATAAAAAATCCTATGAATAGTATACTAAAGATGAGTTAAAGAAATAAAGTTATAATTTTACTCTCATAAAATATATTGCTGATATTAGTAATTTAGAAATGTTTTTAAGATGACAGTTTATGAGCTCCCTTTAATTATTTTATAAAAGTTATTTATTTTTCCAATTGTTGGGATTTCTTGGAACCTTGCTGATAACAGTCTTATTATTATTTTTATTTAAAATACACCTGTCTCTCCATTCAAACATAGTATTCTTTCTACTTGGATTAATTAATAGTATAGAATATTTTAGATAAAATATTCAAAAATATATTAGGGCCATATACTAAGGCCATATACTAATTTTTGCGATTCATAAATCTTTGTTCATATCCGTCTAGGTAATGTTAAGGTAATCAGGATGGAATGAATGGATCCGTGTTTGGTTAAATGTTTGCTCTAAAGGTTTCACATTGTTTGTCAGTCTTTGATAGAAATTTATGTACTATGTTCAACTTCGGTCGTGGTAAATCATTATTTATTCTGTTACATCAGTTCTGTATCAACCATGGGGTAGAAAGCCTTTATAAAGTGGGTAACCTTAATTAATTAATTTAGAGAGAAAATATGGTGGTTGAGCATAATGTTGTCCCTATCAGTTTCTTGCGCAACATTGGCCTAGTAACTGTATTTCCTTTACTAAATACTGAACCCTAGACTCTTCATGGGTTTCAGGATATTTTTTATTTTTTTAAACTTAATAATGGTTCATTATTGATATGAATGTTTATTTTGATAATCAAAAGAGATATTAATATATTTTGAGATATGAAGTGGTAATTATTTGTTCTGGTTTCCAGTAATATATTATTTTTAAAAATTGTTTATTAAAACTGTTTTTTTCTGTATTTTAATCTGAAAAGATTTCCTCCATTTCCCTGTGTTTATTTTAGTTTACATTTGATTTATTTCATATTGCCTGCAGTTGAATATTTACTAGAAAATATTTTTAGATTTATCTATCAGAGCTATCCTTAATTCTCTAAGAAGTTCTTGTACAGTTGGATTGTCTCTTTATTGTCTTAACAAAACATACAGAATTTTAAATCTGAATTACATGAATGGTTCCTCTAGACAAATAGCTAACGCGTTTTCTTGAAAGGGTTGTCTTTGCCTTTTAATGTATTATAGTATAATTCGATGCTTATATTAGGTATAATGTTATACATAATCAAGGTAGGTATAAATAGCAAAGACACACTAAAGTGTCTTGTAAATAAATGGAAGGACCGGTGTATGTAACTGATCTATAATAATTTCGTTAATAAATTTTTTTAATGTTTTATTTACATCTGTTTAATGAAAAATTGAACTGATTCTTTTCAAAATATCATGACATGAGTAAATTAAGATTAAAAACAATTAATTTACATTAATTCCTTTAACTAACACCATATGCCTTTTGTTGAAAGATTCGTCATGCCCTCCAAAGGCAAAAATCGCTATTTGAGAACATCAACATTGACTGGAATTTAACACATGATGATGGCTCTACAGATTTTTCTGATGACGAGACTATTATAGAGGATAGGGTAAATTGATATATTTTATGTTTAACAAGTTAATTTATATGTTTGTCTTGTTTGTTTTTTTAATTAATCATATTTTATATCCTAAAAAAAAATCCTTGAACTCATCTTATTAATTATTCAGGTTTTCTTAAAAATATTTTTTGGGTTTTCTTGAAAAATTATGAACATCATTTTTGTTTATATACACTTGCCGTACCAGATAAAATTATTCACAAGTTTCTTTTGTTTAATTTTAGAATGGTTGTGTTACGCCTGAGAGGAAGACAGCTTCTAGACCCCCAAGCTATGCTGAGTCACCAGTAAATATGAGGTCACGGTCGTCTACTTGTGATAGTCTCAAGTCGGGCAGTTTTCGTCAGCCTCCTCCACCACTGCCCCACACGAAAAAACCTCAACACCATCAAAGTGAGACTATATTTCTCTTTTTTACATTTTTATTTGTGTTCATAGATAATAAGTTGTTAAGTTGAAAAATATGCAAAGTAACTTAGATATGTTATTATCTCCTAACATTTTCACTACAAAGAAATTGATAACAGCTCTCTTATATATCTAACAAAAAATAAAAGTTGTGTTGCCAACTTCTTCATAGTGTGTATTGAAGGCTGATGAGACATTATCACAGTTCTCATAACTCTTTCAACATTTTTCGACTTACTGACTTCCATTTGACCACCAATATAAGTGGTTGATTATTTGTTAAAAACTTAAATTAACAAATTTACATATCCATTACTTATAGACGAACTAATATTCATATATTTTTTATTATTACAGTGCCTTGTCACCCAATAAGTAAAAAGCCTCCAGCACAGCCGGTGGTTCCGGACATGGGTACTCTAGGCTCGGTAAAGAAGAGAGCCGCCCCGTTACCACCTCCACAAGGCTACAACTATTCCACCTTGCCCGCTACCCACAACCGCAGCCCCTCTGATCCAAATCCATCCTACCACAAGAGGTCCCCATCAACTGATTCAACTCGGGCTCTACACCTCGGTAATTATTTCTTAAAAGGTTTTAGGTAACAGGTTAGAATTAATCATAACATTTATAATAACCATCTAAGATAAATGTACCATTAATAGATATTGTACTATTGAATTGTCCATAAAATAATGCAGGATTTCGGTTTAAAAAGAAAGATTTTCAACTGTTTTATTTAATCAAAATAATCTCCACTACTATCAGTACATTTCTGCCAACGTGCCCATCAAAAACGCATTTTCTTATTCTCTTAGTCCATTAAATTTTTTGTCACATAAGTAGTGGTCTAGGTGTCTAAAAAAATGATAATCCAAAGGTGAGAGGTCCGGAGAGTAGGTCTGATGTGACAGAGTTTAATATCCTAGCTCGACCAGTTTTAGTACGTCACATGTGAGACATGTGGCTGGACGTTGTCATGCAACAAAGTGGGCCCTTTCTGATTGGCTAAAGATGGCATCATTATTGTCAATTTCTGATGCATTGCATTAATTTGGTTACAATACGCTTCGCCATTGATAGTTTCTACAGATTTAAGAAGCTATAGTGTATCAAACCAAATGAAGTCCACCAAACAGTAGCCATCACCTTTTTTTTTTTTTCATGAGTTGGGAGCTTTGGAAAATGTTCTGCTGCTTCTCCTTTGTTGTACCACTGTCCAGAACGTCTACTGTTATCATAAATTATACACTTTTCATCACAGGTAACAATTCTGGCCAGAAATGAGTCGTTTTTGTTTCGGCAAAGAAGTGTAGCACAAACTTCATAACGCTTTTTTTTTTTTAGTCATTTAATGCGTGTGGAATCCAATTTTCAAGCTTTTTTACCTTTCCAATCACCTTGAGGTGGTCATCAACGGTTAATTTGCTAAGGCTAAGTTTCCCTACAAGTTCTCGAACAGTTGTTCTGGGGTTTTCTTCCACCAATGCTTGTGGAACATCGTCATCAAGAGAGGAAGTCCTTCCAAGACCTTTGTCTTCAAGGCTGAAGTCTCCCTCCTGAAATTATTTGAACCACCGCTGAACAATGCATTCACTAATGCTGCTCTCGCCCCAGACTTGATTGATGTTTCTGACCATCTGGACCCGATTCCGGCTCAGTTTAAACTTGTAAAACAAAATTACACCAAAATCTAGCATTGACATCTTAGTTTAAGACTGAATTATTTCTAAGCAGTGAAATGCTACATGAGGTAAACAAACATTATCGTTTGAAAGAGGATTAATAAGTGTTAACATTCATGCTAATGAAAAATCCAGTAAACGTAAACAGTTTGTTTTATAGAGGAGTATTTTAAAGAAAACCCAAAATCGTGCATTATCTTCCAGACAGCTCAATAGTAACAGATAGTTTTCAGCTCACTAAAAAATAATAAGTTTCACACCCTGTAGATAGTATAAATATGATTAGCTTTGTAGAAAGAACACTTGATAGGTTGATGCCTGCACCTCAAATTGCTATGCCATAATTGCCATTGCCAGTTGATTTTTTTTAATGGAGCAAGGCTGTTTTAGTATCATGGAGATTTCCTCATCATTTTTATTTAGGAGATAAGTTTGAAATCTTTATTAATTCATCGGCAATTTGATATTTCTTAGCTTAATGCTGGACTAATTTATTCTTGGGCTTTTTAACTATATAAAAAATCTGTTGACCCGAAAACCTGAGAGTCTATTACTAGTGTCAGTTTTTCATGAACATTTAAATATATTGAACAAAAAAAAATGATGAGAGACTAAATTTTCTGTCAATTAAATCTATTTGCAAAGATTAACCCTCAGAATTAAGCTGCTGTTGACATTAATGCCGAAAATTTCTCTTAAAGACTCTATTACTGGTACATCTACCATAAAACCGAAAAATTGGTTATTAGATATTATTATATAAATTGTTGAATTATTATGAAATCTAAATTATCTATGGAGATAGTTGACAGTATGATAAGAGATGGTTATTAGTATTATTCAATGCTGACGTTTTGATCCACATTACATGTTCTTATCAGGGCTAAAAAGAAAGATACAAAGCAAGTTAAACTATTGCAATTGTAACAATTATATATAGAACATGTTATTAATGTACAGAAAATAGAAATAATAAAGGTTAAAGATGGAATTTGTAAGGTTAGTTTTCATATGTATTAACATTTAAGTAATTACTATTATTTAATGGGTTATCAGCGACTTTGGACGTTTATTATACTCATTTCTTTTGTCAATTATTATTGCAGATACTATTGTTTCCACCTTTAACTTTGATTATTATCAATTAAATTATCAGTTATTCTATATAGTGGCCGGTATAGATGAGTGGTTAGCGCGCTATACTAGTAAAGCAAAGATCTTAGGATCGAATCCTGGCCTTACTTCCCAATATGGCTGGTCCCCGCGGGAAGTTAGACCATTACCCTCTTAATTGGGGAGGCCTACAGGTGTAATACTTGTAAGAACAGGCTATACAAACTATATATCTTAATCACTCATACAATTATTTTGCCTTCTTTGTCTTTTTCCGGTAGCCCTGATGAAGGCCAACAATGTGAGTCGAAATGTTAAATTTAAATAAATAGTCAGTTTATTATTTGATGTAAAATATTGTTACCTTGAAACAATTATTTGAATTAGCTTAGCTTTTATTATTTAAACATAAAATATACCATATAATATATTTAATTGCAGCTGGTGCCAAATTAGTCATTCCTCCTGGGGAAATACCGGCACTTAAGGCAACGGGAATCGACAAAACAGGTAAGTTGTCTATATGGATTTCTTTATATTGTGTAATTGATCTTCTGTTAGAACTTATTTATTACCCCTATATCTTCTCATAAAACATAAACTATAAACAGGATGTCCAGCTGTGTAAAAATTCCTCGAAGTTTGGAAATGCTTGTAAAACAGCCACCCATCCAAAATTCTTCATTTTTGATCATTAAACTCTATTTTGTTATTGTTAGTTGACAAAAAGTGTAAAATATTGAGAAAAGGGTTAAAGTAGTAAAACCGAGCAATTTAAAATAAAAATTATTTCTCATTCAGTTATAAATATGCTATAACCCATATTTAATTGTACTAAATTTAATAGAGAATTTCTTTTTTATCGATTTTAAAATGAATTTACCAAACTACAGCAGAGTATGAGTTTATTTTATTTATTTACTAAATAAACAAACCCTGTGCCTGAGACATCTTAAGCCTAGTACACAGTCTATACAGACCGTCTAGAGATATCTTCTTTGTCTCGTCTAGCGTCCACATTACGATATGAATTTCTCAGTCACATCTTCGCAGCCCACCATGGAGGGCTTATGCGAAATGAGTTCTTGCTTTGTAATGAGTTCCAATTACAAGTGAAGGAACGCGAAAACGTAAATGTTGGTAGGCGCTCAAAGTGCTTGTAAAAGGACCCAGGGGTTTAGTAATGCATTATTAAATAAATTAAGACTGGGAGACGCCACTGTAGTCTTCAATTAGTTTTAAAACTATCTTCTTAGACCACAAATTTTCAAAAGAAATGAAAACTTTAGAAAATAATGGTAAACAGATAAATCAACTGCTCCGTAACTGGGAAATGTCTCGCCTCTAGACACCGAGTGATGTTTACACTGTTAAAATGTTGCACAAGTCTAACGTTGCATAATGTCTCCCATTCTGATCAGGAGACTTTAGATCTGCGATTTTTGGTCTCACAACAGGGCTATATACGATGATTGGTCTATAGATATGTCTATGTAGACAAACTGAGACATGCCTCAAAGACAAAAATCCCACAACATATCTAAAAGTGTGAAATAGGCTTTATAATACTTTTTCATAAAACTGTGGTGAAATTTATTTTAATATGAGAATTTTATTTATTGACCCATATATTATTGTTTCTGGGATGTTTTTTTTTACTTAACATTTTGTCATTATCAATCAGTGATGCATTATTATTTTTATTCAGTATCATTCAGGTGGTTCTGATTTTGTTATTTTAATCTCATTGATTGATGAAAAGTGCCTCGAATATAGCATTTTATGTATTTATATTAATTAGTTTCTTAATTAAGTATAAATATTTCACTAACAGGCAGTATTCAGAGACCAAGAGGCCCTCCACCACCTGCTCCTTCGCCGCGGCTGTCGAACGGACAGTCGACAGAGAGTATCACCTCGTTAGCATCTGATGCAGAACCTCCGAATCCTGTTCCTCCTCCAAGGAAGGTGAGAGACAATTTTATTGTATGCCTTATGTTTAGTGTGATGTCTAGAAAATATTTTAGTGGATCTGAAGCAAGTATGATGTGTAATGTATGACACCTATATCAGATAAGAGAACTAAATCTGATCCTGCAGAAAATTTATTTAGTTTTACCTCTCCCTTTATATAGCCTGATCGTAGTCCTCATTAAGGACTTAATTAGCTGAGTCATACAAAATTATCTTTTTCTTGCAAACTTTAATTTTATATATATTTTTTTTAATATCCGAAGTTTATATTATAGTGTTCTACGCTTTTTGCTATTTCGAGGCTAGCTGCTGATTCCTTCACAGAACCACTTCTAGGTTCTTAATAAAAGAATATTGCTACTCTAAGTTGAAGTTTTTTTCTTGAAGGTAGTCATATACTGGAATAGATGGTATTTTGGAAGATGTTTAATCTGGACTGTAAGGGTTTGGGATAAACTCAGTCCCATCCAGTTCTGGAATTTTTTTCTGACAATTGTGTAGTCAAGCTTAGTATAAGATTAGTGATAAATATATCAAAAATTCTTGAAAAACAATCAATTCACAGAAAATAATGTATTTCAAATTTGGTAAATAACTTGCAAAAAAAAAATATGAAATAAAAATTATTTTAATTTGTTTTTGTAAATTTTAAATGAAGGTTTCTTGTAAAACACGAAAATTTGTTGGATTTTTAACAAATGTCATTGCTGGATTATAGAAATTTTCAAACTCACATTATCAGAAAAATACATTAGTATTTTATGTTTATGTATCAGTATTTTGACAAAACGATATTTTTATTACCATCACTATTCATGGCCTGTGGGACTTCATGATAGACCAAGCGCCAATGTGACCCAAAGGCAAAAAAGCTGGGAAAATTTCAGTTTTGAGTTCCATGGGGTAATGCTATGCAATGTTGTGTTTAAGAATTGAGAAGGTTACAACTTTGTATTCACAAACAGTTTAAAAGTATCAGTTTTTACTCTATAGTTTGGAGTGATAAGAATATTCAATTAGTCTAAATTAAAATTGTTGATTTAGTAGACTATTTTTTTGAAGTTAATTAATGGTTCTTTTAGCTTGTCTCGGATAAGATAAGAGCAAGTAAATTTCTCATTCCAATTTGTAATTGAATGATGAAATCCAATTTAGAATATATAAATTATAAAATTAACTTACTTTTAAGCCTAGGACTGCTTTAAAGTCTCTAAGGAGGGCTGAAATGTGTTGAATTTTTTATAAGTAACAGTTTTTTTTCTTCAGGTACTTTAATTTATAAACAATTTAAAGATATGATATTTGTATATCAGATTTCTCCTTGTTCTTTGCATTTTGGGTTCTTTTTGTTGTATTGAAATTAAAGTAATGTTGTAAAAAACAGATTGTTCAGTTTTTAATTCATGTTATGGATTTTTGAATGTACAGTTCTATTTTAAAAGGCAAATGCTAAAGTAGATTTTTTTTATATTTGAATAATATTGTCAATTCTTAATTTTTAAATCTGATTCCCTTAGAATATGGCTAAATCTCTTTTTACAGAAAAAAACAGATGGTTCAGTTCTAGAAAGCTACCCTGAGGAGAATGAGGTAAAAACATTCTCTCGACTTGGTGTTGTCTTGTTTCGGTTAAATCTTATTTTGCTTGGTTCATGTTCATCTTTTTTTCACAAATTCATTATATTTGTTTTTGTTCTGTGAAATAATACTTTTTTAATCATTATTTTTGTTTATTTTTTTTGTAACAGAACAGAAGCTATTGTCTAAAAATTTAATCATGTAGTTTAATTACTTTGCTGCATGTAACTGACAATATTAAGACAGCATGATGCGATTGTACATTGTATAGCATCATGCGCGATTATTATTTTTGTACCATTTTGTTATTTATCCTAATTAAATATAATATCTACTTATATCATAACATTATTTATAATTTTATTGCTTCTTTTTTTTTTTTTTTTTTTTTTAACAATAATATGTTTTGTAACAAAAGCATGTGGGCTTTATTTTGTAAAAATAATTATTTAAATGCCTGCAATGATTTATACCTTACCAGTATGTTCCTTCATTGGTAGTAAACATATTTTTATTTAAATAATTTATTCAAAACAATAATTCTTGTTCTATCAGTCTTTACTATCTGTATTAAAAATTAATCTATATAGTAAATTGTTAAAAAAAAAAAGGTTTCTGCTTGACAAATTATGAGACATATCTATCATTGTGTTTTTAGTTTAAATTTTCAACTTTAGCATCATTTCATTTATTTTCTATTTTCTCTGCAATTATTTATTTATTTTGGTATTGTTTTATCGAAACTGAGACGATGAAATTTTATTTAGTTCAGTTTGGTAGTTTTGAGTATATATTTTTTTCTATTTAAAACAAAAATACTTTTATGTAATTCTTGATAAAATTGTCTACATTGTACCTTATTTATTAATCTTAGTTGAAAGTTTTTATCATTTTGAATTTGTATCTTTAAAACTCCATAAGCGGCGCGAGTAAAGGGAGAAAATTATGATAAATGCAATAAAAAATAAGTGAAAAATTACTATGATCATAAAATCATGAAAAATAATTGCTGATCTATATGCAAATGTAACTCAACTTTTAAGTATAGCTTACAATCATTTATTTAAGTCATCATTAAATGAAAAATTGTTACATTATATATTACATCATAATTTTAGTTATTTTTGCTATAAGGATACACAATGAAATTATAGTCGTATACCTAAAAAAAAAAACTGTTCTTTTTAACAGTGTTTAGCCAAATATTATCAACAAGTTGTATCTGCCTTACTCAAAGTACTGTGTTTGTCTGTTACAGCCTTACTTCTACTGCCCGCTAGAGGAGACGCCAGGACCTCCAAGGTGTCGTGCCCTCTATGACTGTCAGGCAGATAACGAAGATGAACTCTCATTCAGGGAGGGAGATATCATCCTGGTAACGTCCATGTCGACTGAGGATGAGAACTGGATGGAGGGCGCTCTAGAAAGAGAGCCTTCTGTGCGTGGCATGTTCCCAATCAGCTTTGTCCACATGATTCAGGACTGAGACGCTTACGTCGCAGCTTTTCTCTTCTAGATTCGCCTCTTCTTTAAGTATATTAGTCCCTGAGATTTTAGCCTTTGGTAAATACCTTTTATGATGTGATACTGTTTTTTGTTTTGACATTTTTTTTTAAATAGTCCTTGTTTTTTTTTTAATTTTAAGTTAATAGATGTCCGAAGTATATTTATTTTAATATGTAGATATAGTAAGTATTTATTTAAACATGTAAAGTAGGTGTAGAATATTCTTTGATGTGTTTGAAGTGTATTCATTATAAAAAAAAAACTAAAAAAAAAAACAATGAAAATGATTAAGTCAGATTTTAGAAAAGTAATGATGTGATGAATAAGTCTAATTTTAGAAAAGTATTAAATTTTTGAGCATTATTGGAACTTCAATTTTGGTGTATTTGTATTTTTGGATTGTGTGTTTAAAACTGCCGTGTGTATGAGACTGGGTGCCTAGAAAAATTTAACAGTTCGTTTTTAGATTTTGTTTCTTTTCGATAGTTTATTTTTATTTTACTCGATATTAATTAATTTTATTAAATAACTGATTTAAGAGGAATCAGGGCAAGAAGTTTACTTGATATAAATTACATATATGATATTTTAGCTAAAGTCTTTCCTTGTCCATTAATTTAGGTACAAATATATAAATTAATATACTTTAGAGTATTTGTTATAATTTCACAATAATTAGTAAAATGGTTTTTCAACTTAAATAAATATTTAATAACTTAGTTCTCAATTTTAACAGTTCGCTCATCTAAACATGTCAGTGAATTAAAGACATAGCATAATGATCTGGAAAGCGTGCAAATATGTAAACCAAATGTGCAATTTTTAGAGACTGAATAATCTAATGAGAAATTCACTGTATCAAATGTTTTTGATGTGACAACATTCAGTTATTTATATTTTCATAGCAGTGGCTTGGAGTTAATATCACCTCCCTCTTTAACTGTAAATTTAAAACAAACAATAATTATAAAAAAAAGCTGAGTGGTATTTAATTATTGTTTATATCAAACTATATTTAAAATATATTTTATGGGTATTCGTTTAATTCCATATTAAATGTCAATGTTAAACTTGTCGTTTTTAGAAATTTGTCCAAAAGTAATTTAGTACACTCTTGTAACCTTTGACTAACTGGGAAGATATTTTATTCCCAATACTATTTTATTTTTTTAATTTATTTAGCTCTGATTCTTGGCCTTTCTGCAATTAAGAGCCAAGCTGACCAATAATTTAAAAAAATCACTAAACACTTACTTTAAACTGCTAGTCCACACCATTTAACTCATTTTTGTAAACATTCAAACTTCTAGAATATCTTGTCATAAATTGGTATGAACTTACCAAATATTTATTTAAAATTTTATTTTACTCTCTTATTATGTATAAATTTACATATATTTAATTTATTTTTTGATTTTATTATTTTGAGCCTAATTATTTTAGTTTTGTAAAAAGTTTTGTTTGGTAGCTAGTAATATTTATGGTGCCTTTCGTATTATATGGAGTGGTCAGTCAGTATTTTTATTATGTTTCTCATTCCACTCAGCTGTGATTTTTCTCTATTAGCCATCAAAGGATATTAATACGTTTGTTGTGGGGCATTGATTAACCAAGGTTATTTCCTATACCACACTCTCAACATTAATTGAAAATATCTTCATTGGCAATAAACAATTTAACTGGAAAAAATTCATCTTAAACCCTTAAAATACACGCAGACTCCCGAGGACCTTTGCCTAAATATTATGTCATGGAAATAAATTGTGGCTAATGTGAAATATAGATATAATTTTTTTTGTATTACTATCAATTGTGTAAAGTCATTATTAAGTCAGTAATTAAAAAATCCTTTTTTGAGAGAGTTAGGGTCAAAGTAAATTAAATAATAACGGAAATAAAAGTATTTTAAAAAAAATAAAGGTTTCTGCTTTTCCTTGAAAATAATAACAATTTTGTAAAAGTAAAATTATTAAAAAGGATTGAGGTACTCTTGTCAGCTGCTTGTATCATATTTTGAACACTAATTAAATTTTTATCAACATTAAACGTTATGTAACATTGAAAATATGCATGATCTTGACATTTCATCAAGAAAAATCTGTTGCATTTATAAAAAAAATCTTGTGACTGTTTTTATATAGCATTATTATAACTATCAGCTTTGTATTACTATAAGTCGAAGTATTTTGCTTTTTAGTTTACTTTATTTTTCCAATATTATAATTATTATCATCCAACTGTTTATTTCTAATATTGTAACTAATTAGCATGCATTTTAAATATTTTTAACCAAATAAGCTCATCGCTCTCAAGGGAATGTGTTGTGAGTTAAATAAAAGAGGATAAGCTGAAATAGTATTATTAATATTTTGTTTACATAATATATAAAAAGTACTCTTTGAAAAGTAGTAACTTTAGATCATGACAAAGATTACCTTACATAGGTTCACCTGCGACTAAGATTGGCTGTTATTTTATTTTGTATTATATGTGTTAAAGTGGAATGTACATATATATGTAATATTGTATTTATGTAATAACATACTTAGATATGTTCCCAGAATATTATAGAAAATATTTCGCACATGTTTCTTTTACACATGTGGTAATGTGTTTGCATTTACCAGTGATTCGTATTACCATTTAATCATACCAAAGAATTTGCTCTGGCGGTAACTAAAAGAGCTTACTTCCTATCTGTTGTAAAATTTGTACATATGTTTTTACAGTTTTTATTTTGCAACTGTTTGATAATGTCTGTAATTTTCTCGGGCAGAACTGTTTTCCCCAAAGTCAAAGCCAGTGAAAATTAACTTGGTTCCGATGCTTTTCTTAAGGATAAACTTATAGCTTATATATTACTTCGGAAAATGTGTATAGAATTATAAATGTATTATATATTATATATTAAGAGATGTTGAATTATAGAGAATATTTAACATTTGTCCTGCCCGCAGATAAGTAAAGAAATATTGTAGTGCTATATATTATACAAAGGTTGTGTAAATAATTATAAATTGAAATTCAAAACAAAATATATATATATTTAAATAAATAAAATATATGTCTACCATATTATGTATTAAGCTAATTAAAGAAAAAAAAATATTGTAAATCTGTTTAACCCTCTGTCTGGCTTAATATAAAATCATGTTTGGGTGCCATATATATCAAAGATCAGGTGCCCAAATTTTTAAACATTTTTTTGTTACAATGAAAAACAAAAATATGAGAGCCAAGTAAAGATATATATTTAATATTATTTTTCAGTACAGTTACTGAAAGTAACCGTAGTTAAATAAATCAAGTATAATTGATTTTATATTTACGAAAAGATATAATAAAAAAATTATCAATGTGTTGCAACAACGAAAACTAACCATCCAAATAAATAGGTTAAAATGTTTCTCCGAATATGATTAATTTTAATTAAAATTTCAGATATTATTCTAGTATTACAAACTATAACCTAATCCAAAAATAAAATTAAATCGATAGTGAAACAAAAATTATTATAACTTTACAGCTCTTGAGAAATTCATGTTCCTAACTGGTCGCCAAATCTTATCCCCCTTTTGATTATAGCAATATATTTCAAAATATGTCCTAAAAAAGGTCAATAAATATTTATTCATTTTTTAAAAATAATAATTAGTTTATGTATGCTAACAGACCATTGTTAGTACATTGTCAAGCATTGTATTGAGAATAAAACTATCTTAATAAGTGATGGAGGACTAGGAGCTATTACTTATTAGTTCATGAAATTATTTTTAAACAAGAATGTCAGAAAAAAAAATGTAAATGTTTTTTTCTCATTGATACATCGTTCCTGACAGAGGGTTAAATGAGGAAACCTAGTAAAAATTGTATGTGTTCATAATTTACACTATAGACCTCATTGAGGTAAACAAAACATATAGGCTATTTATATGTATCTATGTACTGTAACTATAATATAGGATGCCAAAACTGTTTTATATTCTGTGACATGTTTATACTGTTTCTACAAATGTCTCAACCAGCCTTTCCTTAAGGATTTCTGAAAAGGTTTCACTCTTAGTAAAAAAAAAAAAAGAAGTAATTTTTATTGAATATTCTCTAGTATATATAAATATCTATGTATTTCTTCTTTTATTTTTTTTGGTTTGTCTTTCAATTCATTTTCACATTTTAATTTGTTGCAATATAAGCTGACGCTTAAAAAAAAATTATTTTGACTCAAGTATACATTATAATCGATCTCATTGTTAGAGAAGTATATACCTATATATATTTTTAGGACAATTTGTTAAAACAAAAAAAATATATTAATTAAACATCACATATTATTATATTCAAATAATGAATATCTTTGTTAAAACTTTTATCTGCCATACTTTTTACCATTATGTTATTTTTCCTTTGTACTTAAAACATGTGTAATCTTGTCTAATGCTCAGAATATATATATATATATTTTATTTTTTGCCTTCTAGTTAAATAAAAAAGAATTAGTGAAGCCGCAGTATTGTTTATTGTATTTTTTATTTCTCCTTGTATGACTGCTAATATTCTTTCAAATTTATAAATTTAATTATCTTTATCTTTATACAAATTAAATTACAAAATATCTGTTTTATAAAAATGTTTTGAATTACATTTTCTTTTTAAGATTTTTTCCAGTATGTGTTACGTGTGCTCTCTTTACTGTTTTAAAAATATTTGAGCTAGGCATTTGTCATTAAACTTTAATAATGATATAAACAAAGAAGATCAACAACTGAAATATCAAAATTCATGTTTTTAATTTTAAAGGCCAGTAAACTAAAATTTATCTAGAGAGAGAGAGAGAGAGAGGGGGGCGAAACAACTGAAAAGCATATTTGTTTTACTGAGTTATTAAAAATAAATGGCCTTTCATACATTATTTCAATAATGATGAATCAGTGATCAAAATAAAAAGATGGTGAATAAGAGACTCAATTAATTAACACTAGATATAAAAAAAGAAAATATATTTTTACAATAATTCTATTAAATTTTAACACATAACACTAAATTTGAAGTGTAACCCCAAGATTGCAGTTGGGCACCAGATCACATTGTAGGTGGAATTCCAAAAATAGATGGAGAAGACCGAGTTCTAGGTTTTTCATATTTTAGCACAAAATACAACTCAATTTCAATACTATTGATTGTTGTTATTAGTGGTTAAATGACTAGATATTAACCCTTTGACTATGAGACCTCATAATGCGTGTTTCATCCTGATGGCGGGTCCCGAAATTCAGGAAAAGGGATTTTTTTTTATCTTAAATTTGTTTAAAATACTATTTTGAACCCCCCTGACAGATATTAGCTTTCAAAAATGCATTTAAAACCTTTTCATTTAATTTTGGATTCAGAATAAATCTGAAACTGATAGCTTCCAACAAATGTTCGAAAACCGGAACGACTGAACTGAGTAAGCTCCAGAGGACTAATGAATTCATAGACGAAGGATGGAAGCAGGACTTTCCTTTATCACTACAAGAATGGTGATAACCGAGACGGGAAGGCAGGTATCCTGTCCGCAGTCGAGGTGTTAGCTAAGGTACTATTTCGCTGAAACTACTCACTATAGCTGTCAACTCCAGTCACATTAAGAATCCTAGTTAAAAATAATTTTAAATAAAAACATTAGCCTTAAATAAAGTATAGTTTTCATTTGTATAGGAAGAACAGCATTGCATACGATGGCAGAGTTTTTACTCTAATTAATATGTACTATTTTTTCTGGTATTTCATGGTGATAAGGCTAAGTAGGTTACTCCACTATATACTAGTGATATCTTATAAAACTACACAATACAAAATATAATAATAATGTAAAATAAAACCATAACCTAATGTGTTAACCTACACAATAATGCCCACCTTATACAAAGTGATAGTTTCAGATCCGGCAGTGCTAGATGAGATGAAATGCCGAGATGAGGACCTAATACTTAGGTCAAAACGGCAATTAAAATAAACGCTATAATGCATGGTATGTCTATGATAGTATGACCGCATCCCTGACCAACTTCTTCTTAATTAAAATCACGTTCAACTATTTCCACATCATAATCTTTTATCATTAGGTGATTAGTAAATCAACACTTTAATTAAAACAGACAAATAGTTTTTTCAATGTGTAGATTTGAGTATTTACTTCAGATTAAAATTTTCTCTAATATTTAATGATAGTTGGATTCAGGTACATTTGATTCATAAATATTCTTGTAACTTCAATCCTATAAAAATGATTTGCTATAGTTTCGTTCAAATTATGAGAAATTTTTCATTTAATTTTGTTTGACTTAATGAAAAAAAAAGGTAGTGAAAGGTATCAATGTGACTTTTCTCATCAAAATAAAATGTTATATATAATGAATTCATAACGTAACCTTGAACCATCATCCTGACAGCAGCTTCACTGCTTCTGAAGTGGTCAGAAAGAAACAGTATGAATATGACGTCATACCTAAACTGTCGAGCAGTACTCAACTGCCAACAGTCGAGATGTTGGACAAAATAATACCTTTAAACAGTCATGATCTAATTAGAGCAGCAATAATTTTGATAATACGAATAAATAGGATCGCCATTGAGAGGTATTTATATCGCTTAGAAATGAGAAACTTATATAGTTCGGTTGCCTCTGTTGACTTTCAAAATTCCATTTACAGTGTGATCTTATGTTCAGTCACCATTTTTGAGTAACAGTTCGGAACTAGAACAGATTTCAGTACCGGTATATTATTTTTAAAAAATTAACATGCCATTAGGAATAATAACGATTGACAATAAAAAGTAATCACCTGAGTTATTATGCACATTTGAAACAAGATATTCTTTTAAAAAAAAGTTAGGACAAAAGAAATATCTTCGCTCTCCCAACTGAGTAAATACAAAATTAAAATCCTTTTAAAAAAACGCACCTGGTGGTGATAATAGTAAAATAAGTTGAACATTTGTTACACCTAAAAATAAAATTGAATATTTAATTGTTGACCGTTGCATTATAAAGGAAGGAGATGGTCCGGGGTGGCGGTCATAAATAGGCTAAATAGTGGTAAAACTATTTAAACTACTAAGCCATTGGACTTTTAATAAAATAGTTTTACCACTATTTAGCCTATTTATGACCGCCATCCCGGACCATCTCCTTCCTGTAAAAATAAAATATATATTGTAAATGACATATGCTTGTATCAATTTATATTGTCAATATTAGTGATTTTATTTTGGTTTTAGTAAAAAGAAGTGATTGGTAAAGTAATATTTTTGGAATATCAATAAACAAATGTCTTTTTTATTAATTTTTTAAAAACTGCAATTAAAATCAAGTGTTTCATGTGAAAATTGAACATTTTCAGAAATATTAAAAAAATAAAAACTTTCGTTTCTTTCTTTGGAACAATTGATATTTAACTACAAGAACAAACTACAGGGTTGTGCGTGTAGTACAAATGTTTGTTATATAAAACAAGAAAATAGATAAATATTTTATTTAAATGGCAATGGTCAGAAAGATGATGGTGGCTTGAGGACGCCATGAGTGTATTTGGGAACAGGATGCCAGAGAGTGGCGTAACAGCCATCTAAGAGGGGAGTTAATAATGGTAAATATTAAACCAAACTCTAAGGACAGCCAATCTGGAATTGAGAAGTGACTCATTCAAGTATAGTGGGTTTGGCTAGTTTCCCTACAATCAGTGAAGAAGAACCCAAAAGTGCATATCTTCAATTTATAGCAGTCACTGAGTGAATTACGACTTTATTTATCAATAAAAATACATAGTTAGTGTACTAGAATGACATGAACTTTTTTATATATCAAATAGATTACAGTAGGTACACAATTCTCTGATTTCACAGTAATATAAGATTACGATGTGTTACTTAATGTCTTTTTGCAATATACTGATATCAGAAAAGGGATTCCAAAGAAAGAAGATAGTCAAGCCATCTAATAAATGTTCATTTTCAAATAAGAAAATTCAAGTTTTTATATCTTTTTGTTTAAATTGAATATATAATGCATGCAAACAAAATTCGTGTAGATTTCACAAATACATCACCTACCCTTTCTTTTAAATGGAGAATTCCTTCAATATTTTTTTTTTCTTTTTATAACTTATGAATTAATTATTCGTAAAATGTATTTTTAAATTTTATTTTCAAACTTCGATAACTAAAAAATGTATACCAACAACATACATATCATAAATTTTAATCACTGATAAAATAATAACCTTAACAATATATTACATGATTATTGATTTCCATTCAATATAATTTAGAAAAAAAATAATGAAATGAGCATTAGCTATTCCAAGATACCTATTTTCGGCAACTCGTTTCAGTCAATACAATAAGATTTTAAAACAAATCTATTCGGATATTTTGGTAGGCCAAGTTAGAGTGTTGTAAAATATTTCATCATTTTCATCAATGCTAGCCAAAACCAAATTTTTCCTCGTGAAAACACTAACTCTTGAGTTTGAAACTAGATCATTAAGCTTGAATTCTTCCTCAAATTCAAGGCACACTACAATGAAATATGCATGGAACTTCCAAGGTTCTCCTGAAACAAAAGAAAATAGTGAAACACATTCTTGGGCTGGCCTTGCATGTCATAACTAATCTGTTTTTAAAAATTTATTATTTGAATGGATGGGATCATAGAAGTAGTTAATGTTAAATAAAAGACTGGCTAATAAGAACTTGGATTACCTGGATAAACAAGGAAATCCCCACCAAATTTTGCACAAGGTGTCAACGAATATCCTTTTTCATAAAGATCTTTAAATATTCTATATTTCAGCTTTTCTTTGGATGTTTCAGGGTAAGTCCATTCGACTTGTTCCAGATCTTTCACGGTTAACCAGGGATTAGCTAAAAGAAGGATTTTATTGAGAAATAAGAACTAAAATCGTCAAATAAGAGAAAACCTAAAGAAATTGATTTGAAATAAACTTCACCTGTTGGAATTTGTATCAAGTGTGAAGCAGTGGCTGCTTTCACCTTTCTATCAATCTCATTTTGTATAAGTGCTTCTCTATCAAGTTCAGGCTCAGAAGTTGTTCCTTCATTACCTTGTAGTTTAGACAGACTCTTCTTTTTTTTCCCCTCAATTATAAGATCAATCCTTTCAAGTACTTGTTCCTTGCATAATCTTTTATAATATGCCTCCTAAGACATACATCACAGGTTTATTATTCTCAGAACAACCAACTAATATAAAGACCAAAAGTTTATCACTTTGTTATAACACACCTGTTCTTCCTTATTTTTTCTTAAATATTCATGATATTCTTCTTTCACTTTATCACTTGGAAATGTCCTGTTTTTGTTATACCTGTAAATTTTCCCCAGATTCTTTTCAATTATCAGCGTCACTTCTTCAGGAAGAAGTAACAGAGGTAGACCATTTTCAGATACTTGCTTTGGAAAATTTGCAGGAGTGCCTATCAGTGTTCCATGTATTCGATTTTTTTGTAGTTTTAACCATTCTATAAGAAAAAAAAAGATAATAAACTTGTTCATGTTGCCAATAAAAGTAAAAAAAAAAAAAAAATGGACAAGGATTAAATTCTTTCTCAACCACAACATTGTACAATTTAGAGAAATAAGTAAAAAAAAGTTATTGCACTCTACTAAAGTGGCCTACAAATGATTAATTTGCTCTTCAAAATATGTTGAATATGATGATGATTATCTGTCAGGTAGAGTGGTTGAGGTGAGATCAATCAGTTTCGAAAACAATTGACCATAGATTCTGTGGAAATTTTCATTGTTGTAACTCTGTACACTTAATAAAAATTGCTAAGTTGCGGAAAACTATTTTCAATACAAAATTTAATATTTTTATTATTCTCTAGAATAAATATCCACACTTTATTCAACAATCATTGTAGATTTTACTTTCGAATTTGAAAGTAACTACCTACTGCTTAAAAAGTCTCTTAAAATCATCAGTAAACTAGAATAAGACAACTGGGCACAGTTTTGATATCAATCCTTTGACTAGAAGAGAGGGAAAGAGTTATGCCATGAAGACACTGGCTCGGGATCACGAAGTCCGGCTAACATGGACTGTGGTACCTCCACGCTGAAAGGCACGAAGGAGGAAGATAAAGATCATCCTTTTCAGCTTGTTAGAAGGATGCCCTTTATCTACACAAAACGTATTCAATACTACACACAGTTGAAATGTTCACATAATGCTAAACACTATACTAAAATAAAATATTTAAATAATAAGAAACAAAAAACTGACATATAAATTTAAACTAATCCCTTCACTTAATGGACACACTCTCAGAAATGATGTTTACTACTGGACTGTTAAAATTTCGTATAGTTTGTGACATTTTGATGAAGTTGACCATTTATGGGCTCTAAAGGAGGGATTTCGAATTTATGAATAGCACTATCTTCAAGTTCGATATCAAGAAATAAAATATACATTGGTTTTTAATAAAAAGCTATTCAGTGATAATTGCTTCTAGGATACTATGCCAAACTGAGGTTAATATATAATTATCTTAATCGTTATCCAAATCAATTACTTGAGAAAAAGGTCTTCACCATACTTGGTATAAGACCTATTAAGTATAACTTAAAAATGTGTATGTACCTTCTGCTTTCCAAACCAGAGGCCTATTGCCGATCAATTTGATTTTGACGGTAATATCATCAATCCGCGATAATGTTTTTTCGAACTCCGAAAGAGATTCAGATTCACTATAAAAGTCATCCGAAGGATTTTCCAGCGTCGAAGCACTTCCTAATTGTTTAGAAAAAATATCTAAACATCCAGTCATTTGAGAATCAGCCATAATTATTCTTTAAAATTAAAAATATATATTTAACTACGTTCACCGGTTTAACATATTTCAAGAGAATACCTCCATGATAACCATAGTATAACCTTCTTCAGTGATCAAAACAAATAGACATGGCAAAGTATTATCATAATATTGGTTGGTGGTAACTATTTTTACTTTCACTTATCTATATATCACGGGCGGATCTACGGGGGAGGGGGGGGGGCTTTCGGGCTGAAGCTCCCCCCCAAAATGGAAAAATATTACCATGTTTTATGAGAAAAAAAATTTTTAAAATACTTCTTAAAGTATTATTGTTCATGTAATTACATTTAAAAGTACTTAAGGAATAACTTAAACACCATTTCATATAGGTAGTTAGTTTCTTTCTGTTTTTCCAAAGTAATTATCATTATTTTTATGAAAAAAAAGGTTTAGGGCTGAAGCCACCCTCCCCCCCCCCGAAATTAAATCCTGGATCCGCTAGTGCTATATATGGAATATATAGTAAGGGAATGTATTGCGAATGTATGAAACTCTTTCTAGGCACCCTTGCCTTCTTTAATTTTTCAGAACATGGATTATAGTGAATTTCATATTACTCTAAGGCTCTAGTGTTTCGTACTATAATTTTCAATTGCATTCTCAGAACCACCAAATTTTCTATAAAATAGAAATACCATTATCATTATAATGATTAAAGAGCCAGACAAATACATAAAGAATCTTTGATCGTACAGACCTATTTAGTTTGCTTCTAGTATGTTCTAAAAATTATTATTCCTACGACAATTAAAATCAAACAGACAGACAAACAATTCCTGACCATCGCTAGCGAATTCAGGAAATAATTTTTTTTGGGTGGGGAGAGGGTGGGAACTTCAGCTCGAAAGGTTTTTTTTTCATATACATATAGCGATTATTAAATTGAAAAAAAAAGAAAGAAACTAACTACCTATATGCCATAGTATTTAAGCGATTCTTCAAGTCCTATTAAATGTAATAAAACGAACAATAATACTTTAAGATATTTTTTTTTCTATTAAACATGGTTATATTTTTAAATTTTTGTGGGGCGGGAGGGAGCTTCAGACCGCCTCTGCTGACCATCAATCCGGGTTTAGAAAATTACATTTGACAGCACAACAAAGACACAGGGTAACTGACCCCATATCGACAGCAATGGAGTGGATACTATTTGCAACAACAGGCGGATCTACGGGGAGGAGGGGGGAGCTTTCGGGCTGAAGCCCCCCCTCCCCTTCCAAAATGGAAAAATATAACCATGTTTTATGGGAAAAAAAATTTTTAAAAATACCTCTTAAAGTATTAATGTTCGTGTAATTACATTTAAAAGTACTTAAGGAATAACTTAAACACCATTTCATATAGATAGTTAGTTTCTTTCTGTTTTTCCAAAGTAATTATCGTTATTTTTATGAAAAAAAGGTCTCGGGCTGAAACCCCCCCCAAAATTAAATCCTGGATCCGCTAGTGTATGCAACTGGAGTATTTGTGGATGTCGCCCAAGCATTCGTCAAGGTCTGGTACCAGAGGCTTCTATTCAAGCTTCAAACCGTAGTTCCACACATAGGTACCCAGAAGGGGGTTTCGTGGCGCATCAAAATATTTGAGGGAGCACATTTCGTAGGGATTACGAATTTTCGGAACGAAAAATTTCATAACAGAGAATTAAAGAGACAGACCACAGTAAGTGTAATTGTACATGGTCTACGGTTTTTCTAATTCTACTTTAGCTTGCACTGTAAAAACAGTGATTAAGAAGAGGAGAGTAATAATTTTTTTTGAAAAAAAGGAAATCTTCATGCGCCATCTACATTGAGAGGAATGGACACTCTTGGTTCCACTCACCTATATAAATTCTTCATCCTTTCCTATCAGGCAGATTTTTCTCTGTAAGACATTCCGACCAATTTTAGCCGGTATTCCTCAATTCTCCTTGCCTCACTACCTGTTCATCACATATAAACACGATAATCCTCAAACTGCTCACACCCTTATGTCCATCTACGCAGATGATACGACAATCATTACCAGACACGAAAATTCTAAACAGGCATGAATCAACTTCCGTTTGATAGAAGAATGACATAGTACAATGAAAAAACGATCCACATTAAATATAATACTAAAATCATTAAAAGCACTTTCTGTTATGACGACATTCCAAATTAAAAGTAAAAAAATAAGTATTTGCACATACTTATTTATTTAAGCTTCTCTTGAATTTACAAATATATGGAATCGTAAAACCAACACAAGTATAAAAACTTCAAACTATTCAGTCCAACATAATACGACAAATTATGCAAGCACCATGGTATGCTAATAACAGCACATTACACACTGATTTACGCTTGCTGATAATCAAAAAATACATACGAACGTACTTCAAACCATCTAGTAAATGAAATGACCACAACTTTTATACCAGTGCAGCGTCAGGCTGCCGGCAACGCTATATCCGACTCCTTTGGTACCAATTTGGCAGTGTCCTTCCCCAATTTGACCCACTCGGGTTCAAGGACTGCGGTAAATCAGTGTAGATCCATGGATAACGGCCGTTTAGGGTTAGCAAGCGAACGAAGACCTGTATTTGTTTATCTTAAACAGACAGGTTCCCGAATCAAACCTTCAGATGGTTATTGATGACCTGAAAACTGCATCACGATTCCTGATTAAGATAAACTGGTTAAGGTCATCACTCCTACGCCCGGTCTATGTGGGATGTCTGCAGCAATCTGATGAACATTAACCCCTGAGTGTAGGATAGATTCATTCGAATATTTTCATATTTCACATTTTAAATTATTAAATTGTTAACTGTGGAATCTCATAGCTGAGATTTGTACCCTAAACATTTGGATTTGTAGAGTAGTGCATAATTCATCGAGGCTCCAATATTTTTACAGAATATAACTTACCATAATGTTCGTAAATTTGTTTGGTGGAGCATAATACATTTATAGCATAGTACATTGGAATCGGGTCTTTAATATACTATGGAAGTACTTAGCCCAAGTTTCGGGAGTGACTGAGCAATGTAATGTACTCTAGATTGCGATTTTATTTTATTTAAACAAACGCATTTTGATTGTAATTGAAGATTTGTAAGAATTGAAGTACTCTTTACTTACTTTTCCTTCTTTTTTTTTTTCTAAGTTAATGGGTTAAGAAGAAAAATTACTTTAATTTAACGAACGAAATAATTTTAATAAAATACGTATAAAAGTGCATTTATTTTTAGAATCTATTGCACAACTTTCTATAAACCTTGAAAATGCAACATAAACTTTTCAAAGGATTCAATATTCCCATGATTGTTAAAACTAAAGGGGAAAAAATTATGTTTTTTTTCGAAGTTCGAAGCTGGGTAACATGTAACTGAAATAAATACAATGAAATGAACACCATGAAGATTTTTAAAAAATTACAATCATAGTTTTATGAAGGAATATGATAATCACAGTCTGATCAAAGTGGTTACTATTGTTATTTATTCGTCTACAAAGTAACAAAAGTTGCTTTTGAAGTAATATACAAATACAATATAGTTAAAATAGTTGTTTAAAGAAATCTAAACTTTATTCAAATAGAAATAATTTTGCATACTTATGCAAATTTTTTTTATCTTGTACAATACCTTAAAACTTTGTACACATACGAGAATCGTCGTTCCTAAAGCAACACGAGTGTCTAGCTTAAAAAAGAAAAAGTTTGAAATTGAAATTAGGTATTAATGCAAGTTATAAGCATGGAATTAGGAACGGGTAATAGTCGATCGTATTCACTATCGCTTCTTCGGTAGTATTGACGATAATTCACAAGTTCCTGCCACAGACTCCAGGAAGATATATTTTCGCTAAATTCTTTAGTTATTTGTTACAAAATAGTACTCAAGCCCCATCATAATAATTAACATTTATTTTGTATACTTTCTTGAAGATTTATGTTAATGTGATCACTAAAACAAAATCGAAATCGTTAGAGCTGTTTTCGAAAAAATCGTAAAAATGTGTTTAGTCCATGGTATGAAGTCCCACTTCCGGTAAGCCGATTTTGAAGAAAAAGTTGCTGTAACATCCCTTTCTTTTTTTTCTATCTGTTTATTGAATAATAATACAATCAGCCACTGCTGGAGGGCTATAAGCATTAGGGCTACAAGTTCTCATTCATACAATATTCTCATTCATACAATAATAACATCCCTAGCATATAAAAACCTCATATATGCAATTTCACTTTCGTATGACTTTTCGTTTTTGGATTAGACCGTTGACACACAGACCATTTTGCTGAACTTGGTTATTTGGACTTAGGGGACCTCAAAACGTGCATTTCCGTTGAAAACTAAGATTCGATATTTTCACGATCGCAATTATAATTAATAAACAAACAATTGAAAAATTGTATTGACAGGAAAATATATTTACAGAAAAATAAACTACTCAATATTCAATTAAGAAACTACTACGTGAATATATAGTTTTGTTTCAACAACGTGGAAAAACGGGAGATGTGAGAGTAATGCGTATGTCCTTCGAATTCCAAGATTAAAACCGCGCTAGTACCATTTCCCTTTTTTTTTTAATGAAAAATAAAAAGGCAAAGGTAACATTTTTTTCTTCTTTTCATCAACACAACTGCTATTTACTACTTGTACGTAATGTATAAAAGTATTTCTAGCAAAATAACTTAATATTATCTCCTCTTCTGCCTTGAAGGTTTCTAATTTTACATATTGATATCCTACCCCTAACTATAATTAAGATTCTATCTTACTTCTCGACGACAATTCCTTCTTAGTGTTTTCCTTTTCTAGGTCCTGAAACCAAAAATCCTCTTTATATCCTGTAACTCCTCACTCTACGTTCCTCTGTCCACTCTCTTAATACCAGATCTGAAGATATTGATTTATATATCCCTTCTTATAAAACTACACCCTTCAGCAAATCTTTCGTCATTTGTGCTAACTCCCTTTGGAATTCTTT